AATTGCTGGGAAATGTGTCGAATATACAGAGAATATGCAAAAAATATGCATTTTACCTAGGAAAAATGCATATTTTCACCCCATAGCAAATTCTGAAAAATGCATATTGCAAAATGCATATTTTTTGAATATGTTTTACAGCCTCTGCTCAAAATGCATATTACTTTTGGGTCCGCCACATGTCACTGGTGTTGGATTCAATCATGGAGTCAAGGGCCTTGGGGCCTTGGGTTTGCTGGAACTGGAGCAAATGACGATTGAAGAAAGATGATGTACATGTATTAAAAAAAATAGCGTAAATAACAGTAAGTTCAGACCATGCAATGTAGTGACTACTGACTAGTGTCGTAGGGCCATATATATATATATATATATAGGATTACATCACTTGAAAATGCAAGTAAAGCCAGCATTGAGTCTCTAGAAGCTTTCTTTGTTCATTGACTACATGGTGGTTTGGGGATAGTCGTTAGCAAATAGGACCTGCTATGTTGTATGTTCAATGGACAGGCATGATCTCTATATGCATTATAGTATGCATTCAGTGGTGGGGCAACTGAAACATATGCATTTTTGAATATGCATTTTCAAATTTTGAATATGCATTTTCCTGGATTTTTGGGCATGGCTGCTGTAGCCAAAGGTATTTCATAACAATACATGATGTACCAGCAGGTTCGGATGAGAAACTCGTCCTTGTGGACACGATTGTCCACTTTCATCCCTTGGCATCAGGTCTACCTATTCCTGCAGCAACCAGCAGACAGGTAATGAGAGTCAACGCACAGTTACATAGATCGCATATCCTGACTTTGCAGCATCTTGACGATTACTGCCAGACTCAGCAAGATCGTTGCATTGTGCACAAAAATCATCGACTTTGGGAATGGCGTGACAACACATTGCATGTCGTTGCCCACGGTGACTACATCAGGATTCAAATACCACCCCCTGAGGATCCTGAGCTCGACACTCAGACTGCAATCGCGATTGCAAGAGGTGTGTTGGAAGTGCCGCCCAATGCGTGCCATTCAAGGAGTGACCAAGCCCACCTCTCACTGATGCAGAACGCTGTTGAAGTCTTCACTCATTTTGCTCAACAAAATGATGTCCACATTGTCATTCAGAAACTCAAGACTGACCCAACTGATGGAGACAGTCCGAGACTTGCAGGTAGAGAGAATGACCGGAGTGAAGATCAATCACGAAGGCGACCAGTCTGGCCGTCACCGAGGGTATAGGCTTTGCTACAGGCCAACTTCAAAGACTTTCGCGACTGGTCGATGAAGCTGACCTTGTGGAGTGTGAAGAGGAAGGCCGAATTGCCTACATCACGACATGGTACCTTCATCATCTGGAACAAAAGACCTGCAGAGAATCCCGCTCTGTGCGACTCTCTGATCACCCAGATGAGTGGAGTACGCACATCATTGAGGTTTGGCAAGATGTCATCAGGCCTGATCAAAGCCTTTCACTGAGCGTTGTGACGCCACACCCGCCTTGCAGTGAGTTTGAATGCACACAGGCCCATGTCATTATTGAACAAGGTCAACAGCCTGACCACGTTGGATTTGTTGTCTCTGTCATTGATGAAACAAGCACTGATCAGCGGAGAGAACAGATCACGCATTCGGCACACTCAGATGAGGCAATGCAAACGCGTGGTAGCATCATTCACCTGGCAAGATTGCAGACCTTGCAGCCGCAAGGACAGTGTCGAGTGACGTGGAAGCAATTTCCTTTTGCAATCCACGATCCTGAAATCTTAGAGAGTGCAACAAATGTTGTGGTACAGCTGCCTCACACGGGAGGGATCTTCAGAGCGGATGCGTTTTCACTCATGCAGAAGGAGTTCACCTTGCACACTGCATCTGTTCTGCATCAGGGCATTTATCATTCGAATACCCAATGTGCGATTGATATGAATCATTCAGCGCAACCGCGTGAAGCTCAGAGCTTTCAATTCAATCACAATGCAGCACCCTTTCAACCGGGACAGGTCAATCTCTTTGGTGCCAATGAGTTTGTGCTTGACCTTTTTGCCCAATGGAACCAACATGCTGCGGTTTGGGATGAAGAAGAACCTTCCTGCATGATTGAGACTTGGTTTGTTGATCACAGATGGCAAAACCCACACTGCCGCAACAGCAGACAAAAACAACTTTTTGCCAATTACTGGCAATGGGAAGATGAACTTCGGCGACTCTGGATTGAGTACGTTGATGCCAGAAGCAGCATTGACTTTATGTGGTTCATCCGAAGCCTCCGCGTGTCACGAGTGAGGTCGCCGCGCATGTACTTCTTGTGCAACATGAGAGAGATGATTGGGTCACAAGTTTAGTGAATGTCTATGAAGCAAGGCCTGACCGCCCGAGCCTGCATTACAACATTGCTGTCACAACGCATGAGCACATACTTGTAGACAACATCTTGCGAGTTGTCGGACATGAAACTCACTGTCTTGCGCCCATACCATCTCATGGATTAGTTGCATGGTACCTCCAGCTCCCACTTCGCCGTGGACAACCTTTAGCTGGAAGAAGTGGCTATGGTATTTCGCTTCAGATTTGGCAATTTCGCTTGGCTGATTATTTACCAAGTGCAGCTGCCTCTTCGGTGCCACAACAAGGACCCATGCTCCTTCAACCAAAAACTCAAAAGCGCATTATTTGTCTTGATGATGCACTGGTTGAAGAAAGTGAAGTTAGCCAACAAACTGACAGTGTCCCATCATATGCAGTTCGTTTGCGTGCTGGAGATCTCCATTCACAGGTGCCTTCCATAGTTGAGATCCATGGTGAGCCTACTGAAAACAAGATTGTCGATGAGCTCAAACACTGGGGCCACGACTGCTTTGTATTCCAATTTGCAGGACATCATGAGTTTCTCTGCTTGTCTCGAGATCGCATCCCTGATGATAGTCTTCAACACTACATCTTTGGCACTAGTGATGGTACAGATCCGAACGCGGCATTTTTGCACTCCCACCAAGGTGAGGTGCTGCAAGAACTGGACTGCATGAAGCTCCTTCATAGCTTGGGATATTTCAAAACCACCATCCAAGAGATCACTCAGTGTCTGCCCGATGTTTTCAAGGTAACTTTTGTGCACCAAGTTTCCACGCTTGATCCGGGAAGTTTGAACTTACGACAGCCAACACCTTGGCCAGATCGTATTTCGGGGGACTTGAGGCAACAGCCCAAACCCAGTTTCTGCCTTGATGAACTTCCTGACGAATGTGGATCATGCAGACTTAGACTTTGAGTCGAGCTGGACACCTTAGCCACCTTCTTTTCAAGCGAAGAATTTCCACTTTGCACGACGTTTGAAGGCCTGCAAATCCCGCCCTCCACGGCGATGGCACCACATTTTGACTGGTCGACAAGCTGTAGCGTGCAAGATGTTGAAAGGATTGTGATCTATACTGACGGCTCGTCGTTGAGCCACCTACGACATCAACCACAGCACTCTCAGATGAGCAAGGAGTGCCTGATACTTGGGCATTTGTTGCACTGGGTGAAAGCTATTCAGAGGGCAGCAAGATCATTCGGCTCATTGTATGGCAAGCACAACCGGTGCACTATGACTCCAACAGCAGGTTTTTCCTTGGCACTGACAGAACAGGATCCGATGCGTCGGAAAAGGAGGCTTTATTCTGGGCAGCAATTTGGCGTTTGTCAATCAACTTGGACACGCCGACAGTTTTCTGTTCAGATTCCTCCATCTCATGTGGTCAAGCTTCTGGCAGCCTTGGCACCAATGACTACCAGCAACCTTTCATTATGCTCCGCAGTGCGTTTCAAGCACTTGAAGCCTGTCTACCTGGACAGAGACTTGGAGTCAACCATGTGAAAGGGCATTCGCAAGACCCATGGAACGACTTTGTCGATTTTGTGGCAAAAGCTGAACGTGACAAGAGCTTTTACCTACCGAGACCGAAGACATTTGATGCCCGTCAATGGCGGCATGTCATGCCGCATCTTTGGATGGTATTTGCAACGGACGCTGGAATGCCACAACTCACACAACAAGGCTTTGATGCACATGCCCCAACATTGCCCAGCAGGGGCAACCAAAGTCCTCAAATTTCTCCTGCAGTTGTGAAGGAGGTTGAAGTTACCCTTATGCTCAGTCTTGCGACTGTCAATGTTCTTTCATTATCTGCGGGACCAGAAGGACACGGTGGCAAGGTTGACTACATACGCCAGCAATTTAGGGATATATGCCTCAACATCATGGGCATTCAAGAAGCGAGAAGTCCTCAGAGTTTCTCAACAGCAGGAGATGTTGTCCGTATCGCATCTGGAGCCTGCAAGGGACACCACGGAACTGAGCTTTGGATCAATCTGAGACAGCCGTATGCTTACGTGCTGGGTAAACCGCAGTTTTTCCATCGCAGGCACTTTACAGTCCGATATGCTGACCCTCGCACACTTTTGGTCTCCATTGATGCACCATTTCTGAATGCTTTGATCTTGGTTGGTCATGGCCCGCAAAGTGGTCAGACACTCTCTGACAGAGAGCAATGGTGGCATTCTTGTGGAGAGCTTTGCACGAAGCACAAAGCCAGTGCCAACCAGTACCTGTTTGCACTTCTTGATGCAAATGCTGCAGCAGGTGTCTGCGATGACCTCATAGTTGGCCCTCATGAAGATGCTCCAAGTGCCAGCACGCCCATGTTACGAGCGTTTTTGGAAGAACAAGAACTTTGCTTGCCATCGACCTTTCTTGCTCATGTAGGTAAGCATACTACTTGGACATCGCCTTCTGGTGAATTGCAATGTCGCATTGATCATGTTGCAATACCACAATCTTTGCGATTGGCTTGCGAGTTCTCCATTGTGAATGAGAACTTTGACCTTGGTCTGACACACGTCGATCATGAAATGGTTGGAGTTCAACTTCACTGGCAAGGCCTTTGTCATCAAAGTTTGCAGCCCAGATCTACAAAGAAAGGATTTGAGAGAGCAGACCTCTGCCGCTCGAGTTTGCATGCTGACATGATGCACTACCAGGTCACAGGTTGGAATCAAGACATTGAGCACCATGTGGACCATTTCAATGAGTTTGTCATTACTGCACTGGACAAGCAGCATCCGAGCCGAGACAAAGGTCCGAAGAAACCTTACATTGATGATGAAATCTGGGCACTGCGAGCTTTGAAACTTCGCTATCGCAAAGCCCTTCGAGAAACCCAGCATCGAAAGAAAGTAGAGCTGATGTTTAAAACATGGAGTGCATGGACCCAAAAGATGGAAAACCAACAGCACGCGGACTCTGTCAGAAGCTATTCTGCTACTCTGGCATGTTGCACTGTGCGCTGTATGGCGCAACTTCACAGTGTCGCTCAGCAATTGAAAGTCCGACTGAGCAAGGCAAAGGCGCAATTGCTTTGCCGTAGACTTGAGCAGATGCCACGTGATGCTAGTGCTGGACAGATTCTGCAGGCCATCCATAAACTCCAAGGACCTACGAATCCGAAAAAGATCAAAAGAAAGCCTTTTCCATTGTTGAAGAAGAGTGATGGAACGCACTGTGCGTCAAGTAGCGAAAGATGTGACAGATGGGCCGAGTTCTTTTGCAACATGGAAGGAGGAAGAAGGATGACGCACCAAGATCTTAGAGAAGGTTGGATTGACAACTTGCAGCACTTTCGTCAGCAGCAGTTTGACTTGAGTTTGGAAAGCCTGCCAACGCTCTGCGACTTGGAACGCGCGTATTCTCATGTGCGTATTGGTCGAGCTGTTGGAATGGACTCCATTCCGCCGGAAGCCTGCAAATACAATGTTGGACAATTTGCGCGTGCCACATTCGCACAACTTCTCAAAATGACGCTCCACGGGCAAGAGGCCATCCCTCATAAGGGTGGCCGTCTTACTGCAGCCTACAAAGGGAAAGGAGATGTGGATGATTGCGCATCATACCGCAGTCTTTTGGTTTCCTCGCAAATTGGAAAATGTTTGCACAGAACATTGAGGATGACTCAGTCCAGCTTCTACGAGACGATCTTACAAAATCAACAGCTTGGAGGACGACCAGGCATCCCTGTCTACCTGGGCATCCACCATCTGCGTGCATTTTTGAGATTGCAAAAGAAGCTGAATCGTTCTTGTTGCATCATTTTCCTTGATCTCAAGGAAGCCTTTTATCGTGTGCTTCGCCCGCTGGCTATGCAAAATCGTTGGGATGACCATGACATTGCTGATGTTGCGAAAAGGCTTGGGCTACCACCTTCCATCATGGAGGATCTTCATCAACATCTCCGTGACCCTTGTGCGCTCCAACAAGCGACCCTGCCACCAATTCTGCGCAACTGTATCACGGCAATACACACGGACACGTGGTTTGTCGTTGATGGGCAAGACAACGACGTGTGTCGGACCACGGCAGGAAGCCGCCCAGGCGACTGCTTCGCTGATACCATTTTTGGGTATCTCTGGGCCCGTGTGTTGCGATCGCTGGAGCAAAAATGCATTGATTTGGGCCTCTTGGAAGCCTTTCCACAACAAGAGTTTGCCGATCCCTTTGCAGTCCACGAGCAGGCTGACCCAGCTGTACCGCAACGGCCATTTCTCGGACCATGCTGGATGGATGATCTAGCCATACCGATTGCAGGCAGTTCAGCTGAGGAGGCAGTGCGCAAAGTTGGCATTCTAGCAGGGCTTTTGCTGGATCACTGCGTGAACTTTGCCATGTCCCCCAACCTTGCGGCTGGGAAAACTGAGCTTCTTCTTGCTCTTCGTGGACGCAAATCTCGACAATTGCGGCAGCAGTTCTATGGAGCCCATGGTCGTCGTCTGTTTCCAATTGTTGGCGAGCATGGTTCTTATCAAATCCAAGTTGTGACCCGCTACAAGCACTTGGGCGGTATCATCCATCATGGAGGAGATCAACGACAAGAGGCCAAGCAACGACTTGCGGTTGCGCATCAAACCTTTACTCAGCAGAGGAAGGTCCTATATTGCAACCAGTCACTTGACCATAAAACCCGAACGCAAATGTTTGAGTCCATTGTTTGCAGTGCCCTCACATATGGATCAGAATCATGGTGCTTTTGTACGGTGGCGGATCGACATCACATCCATGTGGGAATCATCAAGCTTTACAAACGGCTGATCAAATGGGTGCCGCATAAGCACAATGGTTGGAACGATGATGAGATTTGTGATTTTCTGGGCTTGCCGACACCCACTGAACTATTGCGACGTGCGCGACTCAGATATCTTGGCATCTTGATTCACTGTGGAGCGCATGCCGAGTGGGGACTCCTCTCGCAAGATCAGCAATGGATCAGTCTTGTGCAAGACGATTTGATTTGGATGTGGAATCAACTTTGCAGGTCGTCGGAACTCAGAGACCCCACAGTTCACTTTGAGCAATGGCTTTATTTGATGCGCCACCACCGTAGTTTCTGGAAGAGACTCATCAATCGTGCTGTCAGACATGCCATTCTTCAGAGGAGGAACAAGTTGTGTGTTGTGAAACTGCATCGCAGATCCTTTACACTTTTGCAAGAAGCAGGTGGACTTGTGCATGCTGAGCCAGTGTACACGAAACCTCAACGTGATCCTGGAGTCTTTGGTTGCATGCAATGCCAACTGCGCTGCAAAACTAAAGGAGGAGAAGGAGCACATTTCTTTCGATGCCATGGACACACTGCTCCCATCCGACGCCTTTTTGATGACACATGGTGTCCCTGCTGCCAAAAAGAATTTCACACGCTCACGAAAATGCAATTGCATATCCGCAACGTTGGCATCTGCCGACGTGATCTCTGGGCACGCGGTCATCTGTTCCCTTTGCGACCTGGCATTGGATCCCTTGAATCAAGACAAGGGGATCGACGTCATGATGGAGCATTGCCGCAACAACAAACGCAAGGAGCGAGCAGAGAGCCCATCCATCCGCGAGATCTCCGAGTTGAGTGCACGGACCTCATGCTTAACTTGGTCGATGCGTTAGCAGATCGAGAGTCAGATGACATTGACAAGATTTTGAGACAAACCATTCAAGCGCAGCCAATTTCTTGGACACAGTGCTCAGCGACCCTGACGGTTTTCTTAGAAAGCGTGGATGTGGAATTTGCTGATATGCTCAGCCTTGATGCCTTGAGTCTGCGTGCAGCGGTTGAGAAGCTCCAGCGTGTTGAAGCATGGGACTTTCTTGACAGGCCAGTGATTGGCACGAGTGGCCCAGATGATGAGCTTGCTCACTTCGACAGATGGAGCAGCACACTTCTTCAAGAAGAACAACCATGGCAACCAAGCATTGCCGCTCCGCGACCAATTGGGAAAGACCGGATCATCCTCCACGCGTTTGCTGGCAGAAGGCGTGTGGGGGATTATCAGTGGTACGTTGATAAGATGTGCGAGAAGTCCGACGGTTTCTTGCTCCATGTCGTGTCACTCGACATCATTATTGACAAGAAGTTCGGCGACCTGAGCGACCCACAGGTGCAAGCCTTTTGGATTTCTGGCATCCAGCAGGGATGGGTTCATGGATTTTTGGGGGGTCCCCCATGTGCTACTTGGTCGAAAGCCAGGGCGGTACAACCCTGCTCCGACCAGATTGATCCTCGGCGACGCCTCCCGCGCCCAGTGCGCTCAGCGGTGCATTTGTGGGGCCTTCCTGAACTCGCCCTACGCGAACTTGACCAAGTGATTGGCGGTAATGTCTTGCTAGGATTTTGCCTAGAATCGATCCTCTCTCTCGCTGTACAGGGAATGACAGGGATTGTGGAACACCCTGCAGAGCCAGAAGGGGATGATTTTCCGTCCATTTGGAAATTGCCGCTAGTCCAGTTGATTCTCACCCTTCCTGGAGCTGAACGTGTGAAGTTAGCCCAGGGTTTGCTTGGGGCTGATAGCCCAAAACCAACTGAACTGCTTGCGGTAAATTTACCATCCATCAAGCACGACATTTGTAGCTGGCGAATCACACCTGACCTGCCGCGCAATTCCAACATCGGCAGGAATCAGGATGGTGTTTTCAAAACTACCCAACTCAAGGAGTACCCTCCTGCCTTTTGCGCAGCACTTGCACAATGTACAGTAACTGCGATGAGCTGCTTTGACACTGCTGAACAGATTCATGTCGATGAACATTTTCTGCAGCAGTGCCAGCAAATGGTTAGTAGAGATTTTGGTACTTTCATTGGGCCTGACCACGCCATTTGACGTTTGTTTGTGTTTGTTTTGCCGCTGTTGCTTGTTTTGTTTTGGTTCTTTGGTTTGATTGATGTCACGTCATTTGGTTGTGACCGTTTTTGCATGCCACATCTTTGCGCCTACGAGCTGGCATTGAATTCACAGAGCATAGGCCGCTGCGAATTGCAACATTGAGCCTCTTGGAAAAAACATATATATCTGAATCAATGAAGCACACACACACAAAAGAAACATGGAGCTGCATGTGACATTCTCTGAAAAATAAGCAACGCGAAAACAACATTGAAAAAAACCTTTGGGAGATCAATTCTGGGTCAAAACCTGATTAAACAACATGGGAAAATGTACTTGAAATGTATTTGGGTGATATCCATCGATTTTCTTGGTTGCGGGTCAAACTCGCTTTTTCACTATGTCATACGAGAAAACTGTGATATCATTTCCTCAGGACGTTTTGATCCATGGCGCGTTTTGAACCATGGAATTTTGGGGCTTCCTCCACTAGCTCCAACCACAAAAATCAAGCCCCACAAACTCCGAGTGTTTCATCATGGTCCCGATAGCTGGCCATGGCCGTAGAATGGCTGTTAGTCACTAAATCCCATATATATGCTCCATGTATGGTATATTAACCTACATTTGGGTGATTTTTAGGGCCAATGGTGGTAAATATTCCAGACATGGAGCATATGGGAATGGCTGTTTAACAGTTCGTGATTGTTAAGATGACCGAAAATCATCGACCATGACACTTTTCGGATCATGACCCGGATTTCTCACAGGACGTCATTTCATGTCCACCCAGCTCTGCGCAGGGCAGGGGCCTTTTTGGCTTCCGCTTCGGCCTTCTTCTTCTCTTCCATCTGCAGTGGTGGACCAACGCCACTTAGACTTCACCAACGAGTATGACGAATTATGGACTCTCATGGATTCTGCTGGATTATGATGAATTATGATGGATTATGAAATGTATAAACCAATACAAAGATGCGACTTGCATAAGGTTTTGAAATGTTTTGAATGTGCCAAAACGGCATCCACGTATCCTTGGACCTTTCCTTCCAGTCCGTTAAAAAAACAATGGACTGGTTCCGTGGAAAAATTGCAGACAAAGCCTCCTTCTTCTTCTCAGCCATCAGTTTTTGCTGTTCCAAAATCCTCTTTTTCTGCTCCTGTTGTGCCTCAGTGCCGCTGGCGGAACTAGAAACCGGAAAAAACAAATTGCCCACCGTCCGAGGTCGCTATGGTCTCTGCAAGTAAACTGTGCATGATAATAATAATCCTGAGTTGTTCACCAGTCATATCAATAGTATTCGATACTTACGTTCTTTTCCGAACACAATCGATGAACTCCGAAATCCTATATATTATATACGTATACATATTATATACATAACCAGCCAGTATGAAGGAAGGACAGAGAGGACGTTGTTTTTACCAGCCGTGTCCGTCACTTTGCCCGTCGTGTGCTGATGTGCCTTCTTCATCCTCCAAGTGGAGTCTGACTTTTGTTGCCTGCAGCGTCCAGAGGGCCAGGTGCATCATCGAACATCGTAACTTGACAAAAGCCAAACGATCAAGATCAATATTGATTTCAATATGTATAGAAATTATAAATTATAATATATATATATACGTATAGTATATTATGCAGCAATATATTTCTATGCAGCAATACATATTGTATGTACAGCAATGTATTGTGTAGAAATACCCAATTGCGCACGAACTTTTTTGACGCGATACAGGGCCAACTGTGTCAAGCTTTGTATAAATCAATGAAAACAAATCCATTGCCCTGCAAAGGTGTTCTGTTACGGGCCTGGCGGCCTACCCTTCAGTGCAGTCCTATCATGACAAATAGATACAAATAGTTAGATGATAATTGTGATTCCCTAAGGATACAACGAGCTCATTTTGGCTGACATATTGCATAGTACTGTACTTCACCAACTTAAAATAAGGTCACTTTGGAGTAGCCCTTAGCATATTTTATGTTGTGACGTCAGTCAGGTTCCGCTGCTTGAGTTCGCATCCAAGCTGCTTTTGCTTCAAGATCTGGTTATGCACTCGATGCTTGTAGGCCTCAACGTCTGGAAATCTTCGAAGTTCCCGGCTTGCAGACCCTATGAGAAAACATCTACCCTCTGGTTATTTAACACAGCCATGGAAAATGGCCCATTTATAGATGATTTTCCCATTAAAACCTCCATGTGTAAGGGATTTTCCATGGCGAACTGTTAGTCATAACCAGTTTGGGTAACTTTCACCATGGCGTGTTCTGAACGAGCAGGATAATGTTGAAATCAAGGCCGGTTGGTGAGCCACCCCAAAAAAAGACATATGAATCATATAAAAGTCAATCAGGCATCATCACTGCATCAACCATCATCATCCAAGGAAAGAATCTAAACATTAGGTACCCCCCAATTCCACTGGTGAATCATCAAATCATCATTTTTTTCTTTTATCTGTATCGAATTGTAGATTTAAGCATACGTATATATAAGCATACATTTGGGGTGAAGAACTCTCATGGAAAATTGGAAAATTCCTTCCCTGTTTGTTTGTTTGAAACCAATATCAGAGAATAAATTTTAAATTCAGACATGTCTAAGTCATTGATTGAGGTTTCCCCAGTCACGTCATTGGAGTAGCCTTAAACCCAGTCATCATCCAAGTCATTGGAGACGACGCAGTGGGGATCCCCCGATTTCGCGCCCGGCTGTGTCGGCCTCCTTGGGTTTTCCCATGACCACATGGGCCACCTGGGAATCCGCAACGGATCGACGGATCGATGTGTGTCTGAATGTGTCAGAACCATGGAGTAATAATTAATACCTTGCTTTACCGATTTTGTTTATGGCCATTTGAATTTGGGAAAATGGTGATTCATCAGCAACTTTGAGGGTACTCATGGATACCCTCCCTCTCTTTGAACAAATCCACGTGGCTGATTATCTTAGATCTCCTACGAAAAAGACAACACATCTACCTGGCGAAAAAAGTCCCCCCTTGCAATCACACGTTGGCGTGGACAGAAATTCAGGGCCGCACATAATCCACGACTTGTAGCCAGATCATCCATCATCATTCTTCTCGGTTCTTCTTATAGGACTAATAATTCTACATGTCCATATACAGAATCAACTGCAGACACATACACACATACACATATATTTTGCTTTTCTGAGCAATAAGGGAGATTTCCGGGTGAAAGAAATGCAGGATTGGTGAACTTAGGCCTTCAAGCCCATCAAGTTTCTACCAAGGCCGGTGGTGTTTTCGGTGCCGGGGGAGCCTTCTTGTAGCCTGGGAAGCGCTTCAAGATCTGAGAACGTTCCTCTGCCACCAGGTTCGACTTCACCTGGCATCAAGGTACCTACCAAGCTACCTACCAAGCTACCTACCAAGCTACCTACCAAGGTACCTACCAAGGTACCAAAATTCATAGTGGTAACATCAATTTATAGTGGTTATGTTGGTATAATGTTACATCATAGTGTTATACCTTATCGTAGCGGTACCATAGAAAAGTATCCAACATTGATAAAGTAAAATAACAAGAATAGTGATATTATAGTGGTGACATGTCATTCCCAAAAGATAGAAGCAACATGTTCAACAGAAGGTTGTCATAAATGAGAATTCAGCATAACTTGTCTATCTTTTGGGGGCTTTCTGACTGAGCCCCAAGGCCAGTTCAGTCGACTGGTCAATATCCCTTTATGGAATCTTGGCCATGGGGCCATGTCAGATGTCCAAGCACAACAACCATCTGCAAATCAACTGGGCAGCACTGTAATATCAATCATACTACCCTATGGTTATGACTAACATAGCCATGGTATAGACGGCCCATAGAAATAGATGGTTTACCTATTAAAAATGGTGATTTTCCATGGCTATGTTAAATAACCAGATGGTATATCTTAATCTTACAATTGTAATCCAGATCTTCAACATGGGTCTGTCTGAGAGTCGATGGACAGTTTTTCAGTGGTTTCGTTAACTACATCAAACATATTCAAAAATGCTAGGTCATGCCCCCAACCAGCACACACACACACACACACATAATATATATATATATATATATGGCAGTGTGTCAAAACCTTGTACCCCTGGTGAACATCAAAATAGCTGGTAAATGGATGTTCACCCCCCTAAAAATGGTATTAATAGGTATTGATCCATACCCATATATCGATACTGATAGCGGGTGTGTATGAACATGGGGGTTTTTATTACCTCTAAATTCTCTAAATCCATTGGTTCATCCAGCCATTCATGGCATTTTCCCTATGTTTCACATGGTCATCCAGCCAAGCCATGGCCGTCCACTATCCCCACCTCCATGACCACGAAATTGCGAGGCTGGATGGACGGAATGGACTGGACCACCTGCCATGGAAGCATCTGAAAACAACGCCCCATCTATCGATACTAATGGTGAATAATGGTGAATAATGGTGAATATTGGTGAATAGTGGTGAATAGTGGTGAATATATGGTGAATATTGGTGAATAATGGTGAATAGTGGTGAATAATGGTTAGTAATGGTGAATATTGGTGAATATTGGTGAATATTGGTGAATATTGGTGAATAATGGTGAATAATGGTGAATATTGGTGAATAGTGGTGAATAGTGGTGAATAATGGTGAATAGTGGTGAATAGTGGTGAATAATGATGAACAATGGTGAAAACATGTTATATAATATGGAGGTTTCCTGAACGAGCTGGCTACCCCAAAAATGGATAATTAGCTGGATGGTTTATGATGGAAACTCCTACTCAAATGGATGATGACTGGGGGTACCCCCTAGTAAACCTCCATGTAAGAATCCATTTGAGGGGAAGTAAAATCCTACTACGCATCCACACGCAATTGTTGACATGTTCTTTGGCGTATTTACCTATGGGTTTCCCACACGCAAGTTCCGCTTTCAGCCTTCATGAGGCTGTTGTCATCCAGACTGTGCACGCCATACTGATAGTTTGGCTTGTCGTTTGAGGCCTCAGTACGTACAATTCTGGGGCCATCCGGGCACCCAACGATGAATTATGTTATAGATTACCCTCTGGTAATTTAACATAGCTATTGAAAATGGCCATTTATAGTGAGTTTTCCCATTAAACATGGTGATTTTCCATAGCTATGTTAAATTACCAGAGGGTAGATCATAATCTTAGTTTAAAGGGAGATAAATGGGGGACACAAAAACGATGAAGTATGGAACAGCCAACCGCTTTTGAGAACTGTTGGAGAAAGATTGCGTGAGTGATATATGTGTTTTTCCTGGCCTTGCTGAGGTATCCTAGCTTAGAATTTGTTCCCGCATGTACGTATGTTTGGCTTTCTTTCAAGATTGGTTCTCTGCATTTCTCTGCTGATTTGTTGGCGGTACCATTCTAGCAGCAAATGATAACTTTTTTGGAAGTGGGGGAGCCCAATTAATCAACCAAAGTATAGCAGCCCTAAAACCACAGGGGTGATATATGCGTTGATAGTCACTCATAAAACACCAATAAGGCACAAATAAGACAACCCTTTTTGGGGTTTATGTTGCAATCCAAACAAGGAATCATATTCGGATATGGATGGATACGGATGAATAACATCTTCAATCAAAACCCATGTTTTAGAAGGAAACATATTGGTCGATCACGGGTCAACTTGGAATAAAGTCAGCAGTGATTCCATGCAAAATTCTTGGATCGGTTGGATCGGTTGGCCCGTTGGCACTTTCACCAAAAACATCCAAACAATTCCAAACATAATATGTGTGCAGTGCATGTTGTTTTAATGTGCGGTTCGAAACTATCCACACGTTGTCAATCGAAAGTAAGTTCTTGGACTCAACAGGAACAACTGTGGTTAGCTAACGAAGCTAGATGTGTACCATTGTGTACCCCTTAAGCCATCAAAGCATGAGCGATGGCTCCTGGGTCCGGACATTGAGCCCCAGCTTGGGTCTGGTCAACCCGCTGGCCACGGCCCATTCCATCATCTTCCTGGCGTCGAAAAATGGGAGCTCACAAGCTAAGCTATATGCTCCATGGTGCTGGTATATTTACCTACACAACTGGGTGATTTATGTTGGGCAAACATGGAGCATATGGCTAACAAACGCCAAGAATTGATGAACATTTGCTGGGCAAATGCTGGCTGCATAGTGGGCCAGTGGGATCGGTGCCTGTCGCTCAGCTCCGTGTACTTGGGATTCGCTTCCAAGAAGCTGTCCAACCAGTCGAAGGTACCTCGTGAAAACTGGAAAATCCAGGATATTGAACAAGAAAATGGAGAATAAAATTACGGAAAACTATGGAATTTCATGGACAACTTTTGAAATTAATGGAAAGTTATGGAGATGAATGGACAACTATGGAAATTAATGGAAATCACTGGAAAACTGCGGAAATGAGGAAGAAAAACTTGGCTGACTCTTATGCGATGGGAAATCAATGGACAACTATGATGAACATTGTTGCGGCCTTGTGCCAACCAACTCCACCTGACAAGCGCCACAGACGTATGCTGTAATCAGGGCAAGTCAGAAATGGCAGACAAAATCATGGTTGAGCCCGGAATATCATGAACATATAGTTACAATCTGTTAATATATATATAGTGATTTCCTGAAATAGGGGTACCCCCCAAATCATTCATTTTCAGGGATTTCCCATTATAGACCTACCATTTTTTTGATACCCCCATCGATGGAAACACTCCGATTAGGCTGAGCTGGGCACATGTCCAACGCTGGACATGTCAGCCATCTGTTGAGGGCCAAGTTGCTAAAGACTTGACCCACAAACATGTTTTTTTGTTTTTTAATCCTCTTCTCCCCTTATTTTTGGCTTCCAGATTTGAACTTTTTAGAATTTGCCTCTATAAATCTAGAGATTTCTGGGTCTCGAAAACCATATTTTATAAACGACATAGGCAAAGGGATCTTTTTATAGTACGGGCTGGACCACTTAGAAAGATAACCTACTTCTTGACACCAAGCGGCTAAGCGATATGAGTCACTATAATAAGGCCAATGTTTGTGTTCTTACGGCCATAGGATCCACAATCCATTTTTTTACAATCTTTATCTGGTTGGTGGTATACCTACCCCTCTGAAAAATATGAGTTCGTCAATTGGGATGATGACATTCCCAATATATGGAAAATCATTAAAAAAAAATCCATGGTTCCGGTCACCACCAACCAGATTATATATGGATTATACACCAATATAACCCCATTTACTATAGTTATCTATAGTTATATCTACCATAAACCATAGAATTCAGCCAGTTATACCCATATGGCTGGTACAAACCATCCACTGGAGTTGGGCTCACCTTCATCGGGGAAGGCCACAGGCATCAACATCTCGTACTGCGAGTGCTGCGGCTTTCTGCTGGTTCCCCAAACTGACAAAAGCCATGAACTGTGCAAATCTCAGGAAAAAAACAAAGTTTCTGTTTGTATACATGAAATGTATATATATATATGTAATATATTGGATATGTATACATATATATATAACTACATATAATATATTATATTATATTATATTATATTATACTATATTATATTATATTATACTATATTATATATTATATATTAAAATATATTACAATATATTATATTATATTATATTATATTATATATTATATTATAATATATTATATTATATTATAACATATTATATTGTATTAAATTATATTATATTATATTATATTATACAACTACATGTATATATATAACTGTATATATATATACAACTGTATGTATACATAAATATATACATAACTGTATATATATACGTATATACATGTATGTATATATACACAAATAAACAAATCAACTACTAATGTGTGCATATATACAAGTATATATCATTGCAAAAAATGCAAGTATAATTTTGTGCATATATATATGTAAGAGCGTGTACAATATATATATATATACTAGTAAATCTGATCAAATATGATTAAATATTGTTCAATATGATTAACAATAATTGAATATGACTGAATATGATTAAATATGATTAAATATTAATATGTGTATATATATATAATCATATGCGTTTATAGATATAAAGGGATCGCAATTGATGGAAAGTGTTGATGTTGATGGGGCCAAAAACCCTTTAGAACGGGAACTTGGGATTGCCGGGCTAAGTAGTTCAGATTGCTGACATATCTGCACAGAACTGCTTTAATTTCCAAGTCAAGTCCTTCCAGGGCCACATATCAACATAATCACTGCAGTTTATCCATGAACACAACACATGTACATGCTCAAAAACAACGAGAGTTTCAAGGCAAAGCTGTATGTATGACATATGAACACATGAATCAACAATGCATTACATGCAAATAGAACTGAAACACATATAAATAGAATGAAGAGGATAGAAGATGATAAATGGGTCACAGTTGGGTACCCCGTTTATCTACGTCTCTTTTTGAATGTCATGGTTATACTACTCGAGACTCATCTTGTGACCAGAAATTCTGGGTTCTCAGACGTCTGTGCAAAGCCATTCAGCACGGTCACCACGGCTTATCCATGATTATGGAGTTCACAGTCTTTATCTTTAAAGCCATTGATATATATATAATATATATATATATACATATTTGTAGCTGATGCTGGTAAAACAAAGTAAAACACACAGATCATTGTTCCAAATGGAAGTTGAATTCTCTTCAATATATTCTGAAATATGCCAATTATATTCAGATATCATTTTCCAAGAATTAACATTCCCAGTCATAGGTCATTACCCTCTGGTAAACTACCATAACTATGGAAAATGACCATTTATAGTTGATTTACCCATTCAAAATGGTGATTTTCCATAGTTACGTTAGTTTACCAGAGGGTAGGTCATTAAATATTCCAAATGGAAGCTCCAGTTTTGCCAGCCCGACCAAAACCAGGCCCCCCATCACCATCATCACCTTCCCGCTGGGAGCCGGCGTCACAGAGGCATGAGCTGTCCTAAAAGCAACGGCCCCAGACTCCGTCCATATGGGGGTCTCTTAGAGGATCCCCAAAACATCCACAAAAACCATGGCTTTCAATACTAAAATCGTAACATGTTCTAACATGTTCTAACATGTTCTAACATGTTCTAATATGTTGCAAAATAGCTATTGTAAGTTGGATTTGCAACAGGTTTGAACTACAGTATAATATAGGTTGTTTAGATTTTCTTTTGGAAAATATATAGAAGATACTATCGCCATACTTAGATGGGTTACCGGTGAACAACCTATGACTGGGAATCATCATCACACTTGATTGGATTTGTTAGGGTGGAGAAAAGCATGACACCACCGACCAGCCTTAACACGGATTCCACTCGTTGTGTCATGAAACCTTAAGGCCTTGAGGATATATGAACTTGCTGCAGTGTTGTGAAAAAATGAGGATCATTGTGGATGATTGAATGATTGAATAATCCACAATCATCAATAACCCATCAATAATCATGATCATCATTTGATTGATCCTCATATAATCACTATAGTAATCACCATTGTGATATCAATAATCATGATGGATCGTCATCGAGTTGAATGATGGAATGGCTATGGCTTCCACCATCCCATTGTGGTTCTGTCCCATGTGCAGAATGAATTGCATCCACATGTTTATTACATTCCGATTACCCTCTGGTAAACGTTTACATAACTATGAAAAAGCCACTATTTTTCATGGGAAAATTCACGAACTAAATGGTGATTTTCCATAGTTATGTTAGTTTACCAGAGGGTATACATAGTCGGCATAGATTAGGCATACTCAATTCATCTGAAATTGTCCAACTCATATAAATATACGCTTCACCAGTGTCGGATAGTATTCGAGTATTCGAGTATTCGAGTAAATATATTGTAATGAACCAAATTGACGATGAAAGGTATATAATTGAGATAGTCGAGCAAATTACCATAATTTGCAAACCAGAAACAAACATTGTTAGGGATGATGCCCCACACTATATATATATATATATCTGGTTGGTGGTTTCAACCCCTCTGAACAATATTAGTCAGTTGGGATGATTATTCCCAATATATGGAAAAATAAAAAAGTTCCAAACCACCAATCATATATATATATAATCACAATTTAATTTGCAGTGAGGTCGTTGTGAGGTCGTCTTAATTCAGCCAAATCCAAAAACAAATTGACCAACAGATAGCTATGGTTCCATAGAGTATAGCAATTGGCCTGTAGATAATTAATTATCAACATACATATATATATATATATCCCACTGTATCCGCACTATATCCCCATGTTTCTATTTGTCCCTGGTGGATTAAGTAGCTTAAAAGCAGAACAGGCGTGGTTGATAGGTATCCCGTATCCTGCTAATTCAAGGCTATAATGTACAATAATGAAATCAGGTAGGTTCATAAGCCTTACAATCATCAACCAGCATTTATCAGCTATAGCCCCAGTAGCTACATTCCCAATTATATCCCCATATGTTTCCCCATATGTTTGATAGTCAAATCCACTACAGTAAAAAAAGGCTAGAGAAAGAGGTGAAAGAATTTTCCCGTCTGTGTGGCTATCATTTGCTTATAATGGGCTGGTGCAACCCTGTAGTACGAACCCTTATAACAACAAGCTGGTGCCCTCCCAGTTATAAGTTGGTTAAAGTTCACTGATCTAACCATAGTTATATCTACCTTTTCAGCCCCAGCCTACTGAACTAAACACTATACTCCTACGCTTCTTGATGAAATCCCCCCGTTCACAACCCCCAAGTAATGATTGCTATTCCCGTCGAATATTCCCATAGACCCAATAGGACTTAAATAGATTGGCAAAAATGTATGAAAATGTGGTGCGTCTGAAAATGTGGTGTACCCAAATCAATAATGTCCTTTTGGTTACCATCATCATTTACCTATATTTACCTATTGTTAAAGGGATTTGTTCAATGCCCTTTATTCATCAACCAACCAATGGGAAAACCGGACATCTCGGACCCATCCCATCTGGTCCCACTAGGTCCCCGTGCGCTGCTTCCGACACGCTGCGACAGGTGAAAGGCAGCTTCGTCATCTTGGAGGAGATGCGGTGCGGGCGGCCCAGGCCCTTGATTCTGGATGGATTTTGACTGGCTTTGGGCCATTTGGACTTCAGAATTTCGGTTTTAAATGGTTGAAATATGTTGAAATGGGCTAGTATACACCCAATGTCAATGGGTTTCAAACAGTGTCAATATGATTCAACTATGCTATGATACTGTATATCCCCAATATCATGTGTGCGTATCGTCTTTGCGAAGGAAGCAACTAAAACAACAATTGTTGGATCATTTGGGATAATGATCTAATTTGGGACTCTTGGTAATGTTGTTTTTAACGTGTCGTTATAAAGACCCATGGAATCTAGGATTCCGAGCTGTCGACCATCCAGAATCCCAGTTGAAGCTCCCCCCAGCTCTTGGTGATAGCCCCCTGAACTGGCTAAGCCATATGTTTTACATGATGAGGGTGTGTCTGAAAATGGTGTTCTACCACCTAAAAAAAAATGGCTACGTGATGTTGACATTATGATGTGGGATCTAGGGGTTTGTTTTCAGACAAACCCATATGAATCATTATGTATCCCATATCAATCCACTAGTTGATGTGTTTAAACAATTTTATATCAATTATGGCGCTAAAAGTATCTAAAAGTATAACCTTTCTGGATAGCTGTTGAACCCATCGTTTTTTTGCTTCTTTTTTGCCTGGTCAAAAAAGGGGGCATCATTTCTTTGCTCCGAGCCCGGGACTGGCTTCCCGAAATTCACCATGAGGCTGGCGTGGCGGTAGCTCACATGAGGAAACCTGAAATCTGCTGCCGCTGACGTAGATCTGCGTGTCTTTTTGGAGTATCTGGATGATGGGAGGGATGAGTATTGTGTGACTTATGTGGCATTCATAGCGTGTATAATTTATACCAAATAGAATATAGAATAATATACCACCATACAATACAGTACAGTACAATGCAATGAAATACAACATAATGGTGAATCATAAATATAACATAACAAAACATACTATAATAACAGCAATACAATATAAAGCAACATGGAGGTTTCCTAAAATGGGGGGACCCCTAAATCATCCATTTCAGCAGGATTTCCCATTATAAACCAACTATTTTTGGAATCCCCCATGTAAGGAAACCCCCCATATATCATATAATATCATATAATCATATATGTAATTCGGTGCATATGTCTGTTGATCCCAGCTACCGAGCTACCAGGGTGACACCATCAGAGTTCTGGGGGTGAACCCATAAATGGGTACCCACTAGATGGATGGTTTACAATGGAAAATCATGGAAAATCCGATAATCACATGGATGATGACTGGGGGTACACATATTTTAGGAAACAAATGTAATGATCCCACATGTGTCTTTTTTGAGCAGTATTAGTAGGAGTAGTAGGAGTAGTAGTAGTAGTAGTAGTCGTCGTCGTAGTAGTAGTAGAAGTTGTAGTTGTTGTTGTCGTCGTCGTCTTTCTAATACTGGGAAATGGTACACCTTCAGCAGCCCGAAGGATTGATATACAACTTGATGACCAGTTCTGCAATGGCTGCGGTTTTGCGTGCATACACGATACGTCGTTTTGGTGAATGACAAAGACGAAGCCCCGGAACAATGAGCACAACTATACATACTTGGTTATAAATTCCATTCAAGGCGTGCCCCTAGTTATAGGTTGGTTTATAAGCGCAATAAACTACGCATATATCTCACATAAACCCTGTATAGATATGCAAATTATTTGCCAACTTAGCCAATTGCAGTGCTACCCTGCACCATATTGTTATATGTGTAAAGTACCCCTAGAAATTAATTATCACTATTGAAGATAGAAGAAATTAATTATCACTATTGAGGTAGGATTGTGCTGTTCTACCTTTTTAAGGGGTTGCTGTATGTATATAATACATGAATATATATATATAGGATATTAATGCGTATAATTAAATATATATATATATATGTACTGTATATCTATATGTCGTGTACAGTTGTGTATATATTCCAGTGGAGGGATTCTACCGGTTTGGGCCCCCAGGCAAAGGCTTTCCAATGAGGTTTTCCTCAGTGCCAGTTGTGTGGTTGCCCCACATCCGGAGGAAACAGTGAAGGGAATGTTAAAGGGATATGAACCAACCAAAACATGACTTTATTGGTTTGCTGGTTGAACCACCCCAGACCCCTCCCCAAAAATAGCATCACTGTCACTGGCAACAGCTGTCAATCGAAACATCTGAAATCAAGAAATACGTATTGTGGGGCCCCCCAATGATGTTTGTTGGTTTATAAGCCCCAGTAACTATAGTTATAAATACCATAAACATCCATAAACCATAGTGATTGGAGTTATGTTCACCAACTGAACGCTATCGAACGGGGGCCTCACATTGTACGTATTGTGGAGGATACCTATGAGATGAGAATCACATGAAGCCATGCACGGATGTCTTTTTGTTGCTAATCGCATACCCCGTTGATATTCAACACACCCTAAATGATCGCAAATATGGTTGCATCCCCTACTAACCCGTGGTTTATGGGAGGTCTTCAATATTAGGAGATTAGGAATATGTCTGTATCCCCAGTTGTGTGGGGGAATTGCTGATCTTGTGGTGACCTTGTCCTCACAATAACATGAAGGATTGATGGCTCGTCACCGACTTGTCCACACTGCTCATTACAGGATGTCATCATGCTATCATTGATGGTGCAAATACTATCTCCAACTAAACTTGGACATTTAGCAACTTCATGATTGAACTTTGAACCCTGAAACATCTGATCTCGAATGGTGTCAAAAAAACAAAAACAATCATCTGCAAACATGTTCTATATTGATTTCCCGTTACGAGTAGATCTCAATTTTGGTTTGTCAATTTATATCTTCAGGGTGGCCATTATAGTATATATAATTATGTATATATATATGTATGTATATATATATATAGATATGTGTAATATATATATATATATGTATATATATATAGATATGTGTAATATATATATATATATATGTATATAGGTACATATAATATGTATATAGATATATATATATATATGTATACAGCAGTGTGAATTGCTATAGCACCACTTTGGCTGTTGATACCCCCGTTTTTGACTGGTTCAATGGTTTCAGTCCCTCAATTTGTTTTGTTAGACTCACTTTCAGAATCACCATGTTTTGTTGGTCAACTCTACATCTTTGGGTTGGTTCAATATTCGCAAATCCCATGTGTTCACAGGTGAAGGTGTGGTAAGATCACCGTTTTTGCTGGCAAAGTATTCCATTATGGCAACATATAAACCAATTTTTGGCTAGTCAGTTCTTCCATTGTTCAATATCTTATATCTGTTTTTAGTCACTCTGATTTTTGATCCAATATATTTTTTTGGGGGGTGAAGTGACCATCAACCAGCCACAACGGCTCCATTGCACTGGCGGCATGGCTTTTCCACGGCTCCAATGCTTTCAGCACTTCACCCAAAGGAAAGGCACCACCCAAGCAACGCTCCAGCAGCGGTGAGTAGATGCGCTGGTCGGGGTTCAGGGCCTGGAATGGGATGAGATTTATCCTGAGATATTATGTATATGTAGGACAGTAATACTATATACAGTGTGTATATATATATACATACATATATTATATACATACACATATATATATATATATAATCACTTATATATATATGTATGATAATATTATATATATATATGAATAAATATGAATATACATACATAATTGTACATATACTCATATATAGTTACAAAATTAAATATATTAATGATATTATAATGATTACCTGTGATGATCAGAATCCAGAAACTGCGAATCCCACCACCAAACATAATCATTTGATATAATTCGGGGAGTTTCCAATAAGTGTTAGATCCACTGCTCTTATGGATCTTAAAAACAAAATTAATGGCCGCCATATGTATATAAATGATACAGTGTTCAAGGGTTTTCGACAGCTACAGTGGGTTGCTGTAAAGCAAATGATATGTAATCATCATATATATATATATGGTTGTTGATCAAAATTCCTTTATCCCGGAACGGCCATTCTTCGCGAATAAAAAAAATACTTTCGCGAAACTTTCGCGAACTCCATGTTTACCTTTCGCGGGGCCCATGTTGGCCAACAACACCTCTTATGAAGATTCGTTCACCACCTGCCAAATTACGCCAGGGAATCACGGATCACTTCTTGGTAGCCTTTTAAACATGCAGCTAGCATCATGGAATCCCTTCTCAGGACAGATTTTTTTTGCAAAGTTTACTGGCCCACCCCCTTCAACATGCACTTTGACTTTCGCCCGCTCTTTCGCATAACTTTCGCGGAACTTTCGCGAAAATATCTATATTCACAGACCCCGGCCATCAGCAGGGGATGCACTGAAGGAAAAGCGAAAACCAGGGGCCTTGGTGTTTGGCTCTCGCAAAGCCTCACTTTGGAAACTTGGCTACTGCTACTCGCATTCTCTGGTGCCCTTCTCCTGCCGGACCCCGGGCGGCAGTGGGTGGCAGCCCTTTACATATAATGATTATAATACCTTACTTTCGCGAAACTTTCGCGAAATAAAATTTGACTTTCGCGAACTCGAAAAAAACTTTCGCGAGGGTTTCCAACATAACATGCACGGCTTTCGCAATTAAAACTCCTTGCAAGGACCTTTAGATCGATCACCATATATATATATATATCGAACTGGTAAATGAATCGTTGACCAATGCCACATCAAGCAACTCACGGTCAAGGTGTGATTTGATAAACAACGTAAGTACATCACTTTTTATGATCGAAACTGGGCGTTGAACCACTTCCAGTATTCTATCCCAAATGTCATGGTTGGTGGTTGGGCAACCCCCTAGTTTTCATATGCTTGCCCAAGGCTTGAAAAAAGTCAACACCCAACAACAGCATACAACAGATGTACAGAATTCACTGGTAGGTTCCACCACGTGGTTTCCAAACAAAATGCGGCCAACAGAAATTCAGTTTGGTAGTATGAGACGTTCTGATGCCAAATAAGGATAGACAACCATGACTACGTACAAACAATTTGACACCCCTCACATCAATCATCATCAATCAACCACAAAGATATGTTCATATTTGTCTTCATTTCAACTCATCGACTGCACAAGTCGATAAGTACACCGGACCTCCAAGCGCATGCTTCTGCAGACTTCCAAACATCTTTGCCACTGATCAGCGCGTAGGTACGTATTCATCACTGCGTAATAGCTGTAGCTATCCTGCGCTGCATCGAGATCAGTTCTTAGCAGACTCCAGAAGCATCTATCAAGTCATGGCATATTTAAGACATGCAGGACGAACCTGCTATCGGATACTGTACCAAAACGAATAAAGTACTGCAATCCGGGCTACAAACAAGACAAATATACAATATGATAATAGTACAGTACAGTACAGTACCGTACCGTACCGTACAGTACAGTACAGTACAGATAGATAGATAGATACACTTTCCGCAACCAAAAAAAATGGTACGACCAAGGTCTGACCGTCCAGGCCTCTGTAATCAGTCACATGGCCGGAAAATCTCCGACATCCCAGGACTAGTTCCATGATGTTGCCTTGGAAACCCTGATTTTATAGATGTTATACATTTTTATGGTAACGTTTTCCCGATTTTTTCATGATTTTTCCATATTTTTCCATCTCAAAGCACCCCAAAGAGGTCATTCGCGCATGTCCCAGCCACAGGGTGTTGCATCGAGCTGAAGAGATACAGGGCCCAGTTCCAAGGAACGCTGGAGATCAGCAGATTCAGCGTGATGAGGCTGACTGGGAAGGGATGGAAATCTCTTGGGTGGGGGCGGACTGGCGGACTGGTGGACTGGCTAGAATCACCCAATAACATGCCCAGATGCTCCATGGTGCTGGAATATTTACCTACAAAACTGGGTGATTTTTGGGGCAAATGTTGGTAAATATTCCATACATGGAGCATATGGGATGGGGACTGGCCGCTAGAATCACCCAAAATAGCACCAACTGGAAAACTCGAACTGTGAATCATACAAAGTATCTACCAACGTGGCTATGGAAGTCTGAGATGATTCCTCTGGGGAGATTTGTTGGAGATTCCTCTGGGGATTCTGATGGATTTTCATGAAGAAAGCTGCCCTAAGTATGAGGTCTGAACATGGATTGCTTTGACCGGGGGATGGCTAGGGAGAATCAGACCGAAAAGACTGCTTGGTGACTTAAGAGATTAAATCTATATATATACACTGTTATATACTTACAGTATCTTACAGTATGGTTGACTACTTGCAATGTGTAGTTATACATCTATATGTCTTTACTGTTCAGGGATCTTGCCCAACAGAAGTATGAGTTTTTGGGGCTGGCATCCCCTTGTTCTAACCTAAAGTTTCTTAGTCTTGTCAAAACTCTGGAGTCTGGAGTACTTAGAATGTGGAGGAATAAAACATATCAGTGGCTCAAAGCCATGGAGATATTTATTGATGTTCCATGAAGAAAACTGCATCTTAACATGCCAACTCAAGCACTACACTAAGAAGTACTCACTTAAAATTCACTTGTGTAAAACCTGCTGGAGCCCTTTGATTTGATAGATCTGCGAGGTGGATCATGGGATATATAACTATATACTGTGATACACTGTGTAGTATATAATTCTAGGGGTCTTACTGTCTTACTATATTTCTCGAGGTTATAAACTCCTACGCGAAATGCGAACTCTAAAAAAACTTACCAGCCATGATCCATAGAATTGGATGATGGGAAAATTTTAACCGGAAAGCCCTATATTTGATGGTAAAAACCCTGGTTTCCGGTTAAGATTTTCCCTTAAACCAATCCAGTGAATGATGACTGGGATTCTCCGCAGGATGACATCAGGGCAAAAGCTCCCAACAGGTTGTTTTGAAGCAAGCTGTAGCTCCCTAAGATAGGGAAGTTGGTTTATAACTGGGTTAACTTTGGTTTATGCTATATATATATAAGATGGGTTTATGCTATGTATAACTGGGTTATAATACATATATATATATACTTAGATGGGTTTATAAATCAACTTATAACTGGGAGGCACCAGCTTGTAGCCGAAAAAAGTCACGTGGCGAATCCCAACACAGGTGACCTATTTGTCATCGACTCAACAAGAAGAAGCAGTGTTTGTTGGTTCTACCGCTTCTACTGGTCCTTTTGCAAATATTATTTTAGGTTTCCATTGTTATCACCATTTCTTTCGGTTTGATTGATTGCCCTAGTGTAAACTAACATAGATATAGAAAACCCACCATGTGTAGATAATTTTCCTGGGTTTCCTTCATGGGTTTTCCACACCTATCTTCGTTTACCGCTGCAACTGGCCCTTTTTCTCCGGGGCCTCGTAGTTGAGCTTTCGCAACTCCAAACAACTGAACTGCCGCTTGCCATGAAGATGAAGATGGCCCCACGGTAAAGATCTCATCGCGTCGCAGGGCTTGCAAGGCCGCATGGTAGGTATCTAAGGAAAGCTCACCTGCTGAGCTGGGAGAGGCTGAGGCAACGGTGGCCAGATGTTCGTTGGCTTTCATGGAGACGGGTGAAAATTCAAGGCGGTCAAACTCTCAAATTGATAATATCAAATATGAGCATATAAGTAATTTAATGCTCATTTTCCCAGCTGTCAACCTCCATTTAGTTCGGGGATTTCCCAGCCATGTTTGATTACCCAGCCGGATAGTTTCAAACTGATGTCCATTTCAAAGGATTGGTTCATCAGCCACAGCTGTGTTAGTCAGTTGCTCATCCATCGTTACAGCAAAACATATCCCAATTCCAGGTGTTTAAGCTTAATCTCAAACTTCAAGTCCTGATTATGGCTGAATAACCATATCCATATATATATATATATGCTGTATTATGTGTATATATATATATCCCTACAATATGGTGCAATCTCTTGCCGTTGATTCCGGCTAATCATGTTCCCTTGCCGGACGAGCCTGTTGGGATTTTCCAGCCATGACTATCGGTAAGTACATCATTCAACAAATTGTGGGAGCCTTCCCCAACTTGAAAGATAGAACACGAAATTAAAACCACAAATTTCTCCACATGTTATCCAATTGTCCAACACCTAATTTACATTCAATAACTAATAAGCCATTAAAATCACCAGTTCACTCGGATGTGACGGGCCTCCCAGCTGCTCCAGTAGTCCCAAGACCATCCGCCAGGCACTGCCTGCGAAGGCTGAGTGGAAGCTCACGCAGCTGCCTCGCGAGACGTATGGCCGCCATATGTTATTTTAAAGTGTGTGTGTGTGTCTTTCCTATACCTGTAAACGTAGTTCATGAGATCAATGGTTGATAAACTAAAAAACACTACTATACTATATGTATACAATTATATATATATGTATATATATATATATGTATGTATGTATATATATAATATAATATAATATAATATATATATATATGTGTAATGTATGTATGTATGTATGTATGTATGTATGTTATGTTATGTTATGTTATGTTATGTGTACGTATGTATGTATGTATGTATGTATGTATGTATGTATGTATGTATATGTATATGTATGTATGTATGTATGTATGTACGTGTATGTATGTATGTATGTATGTATGTATGTATGTATGTATGTATGTATGTATGTATGTATGTATGTATGTATGTATGTATGTATGTATGTATGTATGTATGTATGTATGTATGTATGTATGTATGTATGTATGTATGTATGTATGTATGTATGTATGTATGTATGTATGTATGTATGTATGTATGTATGTATGTATGTATGTATGTATGTATGTATGTATGTATGTATTATATATATGTATGTATGTATGTATGTATTTATCATTGTACATGGGGTATATAACCAATGCATTGTTACAAGTCAGTGATGATGGCGGCTCACCATGTTCTCAACTCGACGAGTTCCTGGGACCAAGATTCCTCCTGCACAAAAAAAAATCGACTACGATCCAGTTATACTTACTTGGTAAATGGTTCATATAGACAGCTTCGCTCAGTGGCTCAGTGGCTCAGTTTTCAGGATCCTTGCAAGGGTCTCTTTCAAAGTGCCCTCCTCTGTTGGTGACCTCCAATAGATATGACATATCATTGTGTATATATAGAATTATATATATATATAATTGTATATATATAATTATACTATATATATAAAATTATATATATATATGTATTGTATTGTGATATGTCTACCAAACGAAAACAAGGTTCTTGGAGTTAAACTGTGCTAACCCGACAAACACTTTGCAACACCTTCTGGAATCTTATAGCTGGGAGCTATTATAGCTGGGAGCTATAGCTTTAGCATTATTTCTTGCCTATCAACACGTGACTCTTGTTGGGGAGTGACTGCCTGCAGGGGTGTATGTGAAAGCCAACGCCTGCATAGTCGGCATTTCCATCATTTACCTCTTGTGTTTGGGTTTTTCGGCCAGACATTTGAACATATTTGAACTACTTGGAACCACTTAGAACCACCCTTCGGCCGGCAAAAGGTGGTGCCCCGGTTTGTTCGCTAAGTTGGTAAAAATAACTCCACTGCTGGCTCAAAATGGTACCATTATTTGTGATAGAATGATAGAATGGCTACAATGGTGGGTCAACCATAGGTGATATGGGAATTTATGATGATAAATGAAATTATATAGTTGATAGAGGCTCCAAATATCATCATAAACATTCATAAACCAAAACACATTTCACTGGGGCACGACCGTTGTTTTCGGGGCGATCTCGACCAGACCTTGCAAACCATGAAGCGGTAGCTGAAAGAGAAGTGATACGCCTCTTCTCCACCTGCGATTTTTACAATTGACAAATCACATGTGCCTAGACTGCCATAGTCGCATGTTACGTACATTAAAAAACATTGTTACACATGCAATCAACCATATGATTCATATGATATATATATATTGATATATATATATATATATTGATATATAGGGTATGGTCATCCATCCCACACAATGGGAATCAAAACATAGTAGGTACGAGTATATGAATTAGGGGTTAATGACTCACTATAGACCATTTATCCGTGTTTTGACCAAAGCACACGTGACCATACGGGGGATATCATCATTACTCATTGAGGTGTTGATGTTTAAATTCTGAAGATAACAGGATATTTACCAACTGAAAAGTCTTACTCAGAACTGATGAACACGGCAAAGAGTTTTCTGTTGATCAAACAAGATCAAAAATGAGGTGGTCCAAGAAGTGACTGTACATAACTATACTATATATATAGATTCCTTCACAAGGCAATTCAGAAAAACATGAAAAACATGATGCCCCCTTTCGGGCTTCTCAGGCAAAAACATAAAACTGTTTTGTATGCAAGAGAATCCTGCACGTGGAATCTGCCTCTCCGAACTCTCAATGATTTGATAAAGAGGTCTGTTACCAGAATGATTATGATGGATCCCATGACTCATCGCTCATAGATTCATACACATGAAAAGTCATGAGATTGTGTCCAAGGAAAGTCTGCATCTGATGTGTGCTGGGGCCTTTCCTGTTGTTTCGAGGAAAGCGAACAAAAGACTTTCTTTCAAATTCAGAGGCGGGCCTTGGAACACGGTAATGCACTGGGTCTAGTTGAGCATATGGGTCTACATCATAAAATGGACATTCACAGATACATAATGAACAATATGTATGCATGTATGTAGATGTTGTATATCAATGCAAATATATATATATATATGTATATATGATACACATATATGCAGATATAATAATTGTATACATATATATATACATACACGTAAATGTTAAATATACATATTATATATATATATATGTGTATAACCATTACATATATATATATATGTATGTATATATATAATTATATGTGTAATATATACAGTGTGTATATATATACACACATCCCCTCATTCAGCAATGGCCATTCTGCCAGGAAACTCCAGGGCCATGCTGCATGCATTGATCACTGTGTTCACTTTCATCACCGACACACTGGATGTTGGAAATGTTCCTTCGGCTGAGCAGCCAGCCATCCAATGGTTATCCCAGTTATCCCAGGGTAGTGCGACTCAGTCAGTCTAAAGCACAAAAAAAATGGGCTTGTCTGAAAATGGCGTCTGCAAAATATGACCATTTGATGGGAATATGATGATCAAACATGGGATGCAACAGGGTAGCCGATTTCCAGACAAACCAGTTGTAAAACAACTAGCTTTGTACCATGCCCTGGATAACTACTGTACAGCATATGTAAAACCTGACACAGAAATTAGGAGTGACCTTGACGACCGCCCCAACAGTACCAACCCATTCCTTGCGTAGAGAACATGGCACGCATGACATGGGCTAATGTCTGTTTTTGTATGTTTGTGTACGCATGGAAAAAGAACACATTAATGTCCATTGGAAGTGACGGCAACCCACATTCAGTTGGAGCATCCATGGACAATCAACAAGAACTCACGCAGTACAAAAGCAACATGACACGGCAAAATTGAAGCGCCTCACCCCACCCACACACACACACACACTAGTCTAGGGGCTGTCAACAAGAAACAGGGCTGTCAAAAAAAAACGAGGCCTTTCAAATGGTGTTTCCACACGTTATCGTTGTTTTCTCTTCCTCTTATCGTTTTCCCCAGCGCTGGCTTCACACCTTGATCAAAGAATTCATATTGTGTTTTCTTTGTGGGATGTCAGCTTACAACCACCAGATTTACATGATTTTACATGTGTTGTTTCGAGAAAATATATGAACATATCGTATCTGCTTAAAGTTGGAATGATGCTATGGCACAAATCATGGCATTGAATCAACAGAGAAATGGCTCAAGAGGAATGGCTCATGTTAGGAATACCCAAACAAGATATACCCTCTGGTAAACTAACATAACTATGGAAAATCACCATTTTTCATGGGAAAATCCACTATAAATGGTGATTTTCCATAGTTATGTTAGTTTACCAGAGGGTAACTCAGCCAAAGTGGGCAGTGTCAGTGTCTCACACGGACAATTTTTGATGCCCAAAGTATCCAAACAAGTTATATATATTTATATATTATATATTGTTATCGTTATTGTTTTGTTACCATCTGGTTATTTAACATAGCCATGGAAAATGACCCATAGAAATAGATGGTTTATCTACAAAAAAATGTGATTTTCCATGGCTATGTTAAATAACCAGGTGGTATATTGTTGTCGCTATTGTTTTGTTATCGTTCGTGAATCCGCTGAATTCGGACATCTAACCGGACATATTCTCGGACATACGCAGCTGCGCTCAAGCATGGAACGGATGTTCTAAGCGTCGCACCAGGGCTTTGAAAACATCTTGAACATTGGATTGAAAAAGGCCTGGACACAGATCATTCACATTCATTCACATAACCAACGTTATCCTCGTTTTTCCGAGTGGAAGCTAAAAATGGCTCATAATTGCTCATAATTGGGGATCATGGAAGACTAAACGAACTGGCGTGGGGTTGTCATACTCTCCCAAATGGGGTTTGTCTCGGACTTAATGCTGAATTCATACTTTGTATTGGGATTAAAGGGTGATTTAGTTTACTTAATGCTGAATTCATACTTTGTATTGGGATTAAAGGGTGATTTAGCTTTAATGTTATTTCAACATCTGTTTGTTGGTTAATCAACCGTCTAAGCATAGTTCAGTGGATGTCCTCGTCGCATGTTACTGAGGTCCATGGAACGTTGCCACTGGCTCGCTCGGTCAAAGCTGGACAATAATGACCTGAAGGGTCAGCGATAAACATCTCAGAATGGGCGTCATGAAAACTTAGTGATATTGGTAACCGGACAAATAAACATAAATAAACATTGTTTTGCAACATTGGAAACAACAAGTAACTCCAATATTCAATATTATTATCATTAACTATAAGAGTCTAAGCAATTCCATATTAGCATTATCAAGGCATGTTAGTATCAGAGGTAAAAGACTTTTGGATAGTTCCCCATCATCTAGTACTACAGTAATGGGTAATCCTGTATATATAATATTCCTACCATAAAGCAATATGGAGGTTTCCTAGAATTGGGGGTGTATACCCCCCCAATCATCAAATTTAGATCATGACATAGTATTGAAAAAACATTGTTTTGGGGATACCCATTTTAAGAACCACCCCAAATGGATATGGACAAACGAAACATGGTTTTCCATGTGCGTTGAAATATGGGAAACATTATCATACTTTTCCACACTCTCAACTGACAGAACGTAAACATCTTTCAACGGATGCCTTCTTGCTAAGTACAAGATGTTAAAATTGATGTTGATTAAATATATTCCGCGTCCACAATCCTGGTGACTAATAGGTATACTAAATCACATCCCCACATATTCCCTCAATCAAATTCCAGAAATGATTGTGTGACGACCATCATTTTTTGCTGATGATATTCAAATAAAATCTATATACACATGAGCCATATTATAATATTCTATAATACAGTATATATTTGAGATATGCACAACATATTGTATATAAATATTATATATATATATTATATCTAATATGTCAACACTACATGCAACTCAAGTGCAAAGCCAAATGATACGGCTAGGAAACCAGTGTCATCTTGACAACATCTATGTAAATAAGCTTTCGCACTTAGACACCACCAACATGTGACTCAAATTCCCAAGTTCTTGACTCACTGGGAACTTTCAAAATTGCCCTGCCCAACTTTAGCAATGGTAAAGGAACATGACAAATAAATCACTACACCTTTCAAATTGGGAGCAATGCCGATGCACAAACCTCGAAAACTGTTGGATGCTGTTGGTGAACATGGATTCCCATCATGGATACATGTTGCAAGCAAGCCCAGTAAGCCTGGTACTCTACTCCCACGTTTGTGGGTAATGCACCGGTAAAGTTTCAGCAAACATCAGCAAACCATGTCCCATGCATGGCCCATTCCCATTGCTAGTCACACATCGCTGGCATCATTTCCTTCGCGCTCGCCCAGAAGACATCGGACAGCATCGTAGAAACTCAATGCTCTGAACCAAGGAGAGTCTAACCTCAAATTCGTGCAGAGATGGGAGGAGTGCGGAGAGAATCCAACCGCTGATTTAGTAGAATAACTTTCAATCGGATATGATAGGATTGATTTGCCATCTGGTTATTTACATAAATATATAATTTTCAGAAACAGGCTGATGGAAGTGATGTTTTTTTTTCCCCGCATTTGGATCTATGGAGCTCAGAAAAGAAACAAACTGTGAACATGGTGGCTCACGTTTCGGATTGGGTACCCAAAGCGTGATGCTATGTTCTCTGGGTTTATTCCCGTTGACTTCGAGATGAGGTTTTCTGTTGATGTCAGATCATCCATCCATGGCATCTATGGCTGTGTCCAAGATTCTAGGGAAATCCCTACTGTCTGACAAACATGTGACAAACCCCATGGTATTTACCAACCCCTACACCAAGAAAAAACATTTCAAAATCACCTGTGTCACGAAGGTGAACTTGCCAACACCATGAGGCCATGAGGGGTAATTATGTGGATAAGACATGATTCCTAAAACCGATTCTGTAAGAATAATGGCAAAAACCGATCAGTTGGAATATGTGATCAAGACATGACGCCCAACTGATGGATATGAAAATCAACACATATCAAAACTGAAGTTCAATGATTTCGCGAATATGTCCCATCAGTTGTGGCAAGCTCGTGTGAGCTTTGCCTGGAATTGATCCCAAATTCCCATATTCTCCTGGTCAATCCGTGTTTCCCTTTGGCAAGTCCAGTGATAAATCATCCCAGCACATGGGGGCTCTGTTTGAGGTTGCCATATTGGACTGATTAGTAAAACCCTACACCATCTATATAGACCCTCTGTGGCAAGCCACGTGTTAGATGGTACTAATTGCGAATTTATCTGCATTTACTGGACTGAGCATTGAATGCTGTGGCGAATCCCAAATTCAGCCCAGTGCTATGACGACTAGCACGATGTGATGCATCCCACTTTGGTCCTCAACAATGATATGGGTAATGGTTTGAAATGTGTATATAATATTGCCCACAGACGCCGCGTGTTGCCCAGACATTAACATTGAGGATGTCGTGCTGTTGAATAAGATAGGAGAGAGTGCAGAAAATAATGCATATACACAGAGTTTTCTGGTTTAGGATTCAAAGTTTTCAGGGTTTAGGTTTTTAGGGTTTAGGGTTTAAGGTTTTAGGGTTTTAGGTTTTAGGGTTTTTGGGTTTAGGATTTAGGGTTTAGGGCTCGTGGTCTGGGAAATCTCAAAACACTGGCCCTGCGCAGGTGTTTGAGCATGTTGAAGGATAATGTTTAAACGCCATGTAACTTTCTGGGCAACACGCAGCGCCTGGCCGTAATATTATATATATATAATGTGGTTGAAACAATGCCATAAACCATCCCCCAGTCATCACCATTTTTTATAGGTGGTATGGTTACCATTCCCAGTCATGGGTAGTTTATGGCATTGTTTTAATCACATTATATAATATGTATCTCTACCTCTCTCTCTCTCTCTTTCTCTCTCTCTCTCTCTCTAGTTCTTTAGTTGCCAATGTGGGCTCATTGTCCGAATTTCAGCTTGCTTTGGCATGGTGACATGCTGTGACTCCCGTACGAAAGAAGCGTGTGCGCGGCTGAATTCCCAATGAATGTTTCGATGTGCATACCAGTTTGGCACCGGGAAAAATAATGAAAAATCAGCATACAATAAGCCATCTGCAAATCGATCGTTTACCCAGTTGTAAAGGCCTAAATATCGGCTTTTCGTCAGTTACTACTTGTTTTTTCTCCCAAACAACTAATGTAAGATGTATTATATAATATATGTACGTATATATACATACTGAAATCACTCTACTTCTACTGATTCTTCTTACATCAAAATTATTCATCAACAGTCAACATCTAGGTAGTATGTGTTTATATATATATATACATACAACATGGTCCTAACATGTCCTAACAGTGTATAAATCAACCTGCCAGTGCATAAAATTGCATAAATATATCTATTTAGTGTATACATCAACATGTTCAGGGGTAAATGTACAAATTAAAGATCACCAACTATTGGGAATATAAACAATCTCCAACAGATATTTTTTTCAGGCGATGTTCCCACCTTTCCCATCTCTACCTGAGAGTCCCACTTAGTAAATGGCTCAAAATTGCGGTTAGATGAATGAAATATGCCCCATCCATCCATCCATCCATCCATCCATCCATCCATCCATCCATCCATCCAACTCTATATACATATATATATATACATATATATATACATATATATATATATATATATACATATATATATACATATATATATATATGTATGGGATGAAATATGGCTTATACATGGATTTTAAGACTATAAACCACGGCTCCGATTCGTGGGGCCGAGCCGCTGGCACGTCTGGACGGCCGCATTGCCGGCGATTTTGGCGGCGGTCGCCGCGCGTTGGGTCGCCAGGTCGGCCAGCAGCTGCAGGCTGTGGCGGAGCTTCCGGGCACCCACGTAGGTGCGGAGCGCCTTGGTACCCTTCGTGGGTAGCCCAATTGGATGGTTAACAATCTGATGGTACCCCAATTATGATGGTTAACCTTATTGGTCAGTAACCGCTTATACTTAACAAGACTTACAAGTTAACAGTAACAATAGACTAAACTCATCTAAAATCTGGGGGTCCCCTGGGTCTTGAATGAACTAAGCCATAGCTACTTGGAGTTGGTTTTGAACTCCAAGAACTAAGGTTATCTTTGTGGTATGTATAACCACGATAAATGTGATGTTTTTTTTCTATGAAACATGTGGGCAAAATGGGATTTAATCCAAATCCATAGGGATATGTATAATATATATATATACACATTTATTATATTATAATATATTATAGGGATTTAAAGCTATGAACAGTTGATATGGGGGTGCAGGACTCGGGTGATGTTTAATAATTATGTAACGACCCATAAGTTTTTTATCTTCATCCCAGGCAGTCCCTGATTCTAGTGCTTATCCCAAGTCAGAAAGCTTGAAGGGAGCAACCATGGGCGCACCAACAAGTCAGGCTGATCACACATATGTTCTGCTCACAACATATTTAAGGATATAGAAGATTCAACATGCTGATGTATGTAAGCAAGCATATGTATATATATATATATTGCTATGATATTCTATAATTTAGCGCGGATCTAGAACAGTTCATGTTTTGGTCTTCAAGCGCTTAAAGATCCAACAACAATATCTCGGGACCAAAAAAATATCACAGGCCCATCCCCAGGACATTGGTCAATAGAGCTTGTTCTTCACCCCCCATGGATACCCTCTGGTAAACATACAATAACTATTGAACATGGCCATAGAAATAGTTGATTTTCCCATTAAAAACTGCAAAAACATGATGATTTTCCATAGTTTTTTGTTAGTTTACCAGAGGGTATCCATGGTCTTTTGCGCCCCAGTGGCAACCGTATAGCTCATCCCTGTGGCTTCCAAAGACCTTTGGTGCAGTCCCTGAAACAGAAAGGCGCTCTGCCGCCAGCGCCGTGCCATTGTTAAGGCGCTCATGGCGGAGGTGAGGCCCACGATGTCCACACCCCAGGTCTCCTGGGACTGGTCGAGTGATTGCCAAGTACTGAAGTCGAGTGATTGGTCTTACATCTATGACAGACATATGTATAATATACATATATATATATATATTATATATATATATTACATGCATAATGATGTATATAGATAAAGAAATATATATATATATACATATATATATATATATATATTTGTATATGATTGTATACGTATAGCTTATGCCATTGTATAACCTAAATAATCTATGTGGGATATCAATTGTACTTGTTCATAACAGCTTATAACCCTTGTGAAAGTGACAGATGATTAGTGACAAACCCCAGTCATCAACCATCATTTGGCTCCCTCGGGGAACTTCTAAGTATGTTGCCTGAAGGACATCACTAATTAAATATGATCTAACACCATTATCTTGTGATTACTTCCTCAATGATCTATTCTGAGGCGGTTTGAAAGTTGCTTTGAATTGCACCAATGGAATTGCAAAGAAAAAAACATAGTTAGTGAACACGAAATAACTTTTCTTAGCGCAACATCAGGCCAATCACAGAAGCGATTCAGAACTCTACAAACATGGACATTGCAAAGTGTTGAGCCTCCAATCCTGGTCGTTGGTTTACATAGTTAGTTACGCGTGCAAAAACATTGTTGTTAAATCCACATTTGGTTTGCTTGACTATGATGTATATATATAATTATATATAATATATATATATATGATATATGTGCTATTGAAGGCTTAGATGCACCTTTCTTTTCATATCTATGTATATGTACATCTTCATGGCTAGAGATCGAGGTATCTACGGCTCTTCTACGTCCCAGCTTTTGCTTCCCCTCTCCTCGGCCTCCTGATAGCTCTCCACAGCCTCCTGCCAGTGCCCTGCTGTGGGGCTTTCAGTCAGTGACACAAACGGTTTCATTCAATCATCAACAGTTCTGGGTAAATTATAATATTTGACTAACCTGAATTAAGGCCCATTTGGGGATGATTTCCCTTATTAACTATGATTCCAGTGAGGTCGCAGTGAGGTCGTTATAATTTACCCAGACAGTTGGGAATTGAATGATTCAACCATCAACAAAAATAGATCCACATGACAATTTAACGATCAAAATAAATAATAATGATCAACATGATTCAACCATGAAAAAATGATCCAAATGATGTTTTAATGTTATCAACAATTGCGGGTTTGCAGAATTAATCATGATTTAACCGCCAAAGACTTGGATTTCTTCATGATGATGTACCCATCCTTAAACATTTTTTTTCCATCAACCATCAACAAATGAGAAACATACGCCTCAATGGTTAGCTGGTTTCAACCATGTGAAATGACTCATGCTCCAAGATCTTGGAACATAACTGCAGATGGATAGATGGGTACGATGAAACGATGACATATTTAACCGCGAATTGTTAGGGATTTGGGCGTTTTTAAACATGAATAAACATCAATGAACCAACTATTTTGGCGTACCTAGAGTACGGAAGTGTTGACTCATTGCCAGATCATCATAGACTTATAGATAATACATGATAATACCATCGCACGTAGTACGTAGCCTTTCTTCACGCGGCGTCTTTGAACTCTGGATGTTCGGCACCTCAAACTTTGGCAAAATTCACCTGAAATCTAGCAGCTAGCATGTGGTTGGGAAACTCTACTATCTAAAACTCTAAGTAGCTCCAACTGGCTCCCCATGCCAAATAGGAATTATGAATACCCCAACAGCTCCGAAATCCCAACAGCTCCCTCCGCTGTTCAAAACATCTTCCGAGAATTCCCTGCTCTGACCCCTCAACCTAACAACCTCAAATATGGCGAAAAAAAACGGGTAAACCAAAAACTCATGGGTTCTCATGGGTTTCCATGGTTATCATCAAACAAATAAAGCGCGTTTCCCCTATGAAAATTTTCTCCGCCGTGCTGCTGCCAATGGGTTTCAAACCATCCCCGATCGGCCCATGGGTTTTATCGGTGAATAATGGGCCTCCGGTCTCGGAAACGTCAATGAACATGTTGCGTGCGGCCAAATCCTTGCAGTTGGCATCAAACAGGTGGATTTTACCCTGAAAGATGCTGGTGGATTTTACCCTGGAGCTTGACATGGTCGCTGGCACCGTAATAAGCACCTCAGAATGGATTGATTTCAGCGAAATCTCAGAGGACAGAAACATCCACTATGGGGGTTTCTTATGGGGATAGCCCCAAATCATCAAACAAAAAACATCATTTTAGTACGTATTGAAATCCATGTTTTTGGGGGTCCCCCGATTTTAAGCAAACCCCATGACGTTTCTACTTAGATATGTTTGTACTACATTTTTTTCCGGTTTATTTCCTGTAGATTTAAGCCTCCGTCCAAGTCTAGGGTTTTTCCTGGGGGTGCAGTTCCAATTATAAGTCCTATAAAAACCATGGAAATGGTGCAGTTTTTTTTCATTTAACATCATGGTTCCAATAAAAATCACAGTCCTGCAGCCAAAATTAGATCCATTGTTGACTTGATTTAGGTCAAATCATGTCAATTTGCCGGAAAAACCATGTTTTTGATGGGAACATCGATGGTTTCCGGTGAAGATTTTCCCAACAAAACCAATCCATTGATATTGATTATTGGAAAATCAATGGACTACCGGTATGGGACTATGAATGGAATATTCATGGGACTATTAATGGGATATACCAGTATCAAGTTAAATTGAAAAATCCGTGGTTTCCGGTGAAGATTTTCGCTTAAACCAAATCGTTGATTAAATCAAGTTACCCTCTGGTAATTTAACGTAGCTATTGAAAATGGCCATTTATAGTGAGTTTTCCCATTAAACATGGTGATTTTCAATAGCTATTTTGACATAACCAGAGGGTAAATCGCAAGGCTCTGGTTCAAGTTGTTGATGAGGAAGCGCTGATAGCATCCAACCTGCCAACTGCCACTGCTGCGACTGGTGACACGCGGTGACCACGCTGCAGTGAGACAACCTCGGCATGGGACATGACCGGGAAAGCTGTTCATATTTGTTTTTTTTGTTTAGAACAACAACAACAACAGCAACAACAACAAACAACAAACAACAAACAACAAACAACAAACAACAAACAACAAACAACAAACAACAAACAACAAACAACAAACAACAAACAACAAACAACAAACAACACAACAACAACAACAACAACAAACGTATTTGTTATGAATGTAAAAAAAATGATATTATATGATTTATATATATACACATATGAATACAATATCATTTAGCGCACTTATATATGTATATAACACATTATGTATACAATATATAAATAGAATGTAATATCATATTCAATATAATATAGTATTATGATATAATATAATATAATATAATATAATATAATATAATAATATAATAATATAATATAATAATATAATATAATAATATAATATAATAATATAATATAATAATATAATATCATATAACAAATAATAAAATAAAATAATATAATATAATATGATATAATATAATATGAAATAATATAATAACACAATATAATAAATAATATAACATAATATAATATGATATAATATAATATGATATAGTATAATATAATATAATATAAGACAATATAGTATAGTATAATAACATAGAGTATAATGTATGTATATATACCATAACAAAACATAACATAACATAATATCATATAGTATAATCATATAATAGAATACATATATATATATATACATAATATAATCGTGTATTATATTGAGTTATATTGTAGTACATATTGTATTATATAGTAGTTTATATGCTACTATATTGCAGTGTATATCATATACATATATATATATATATATATACATATGTACTGTATGTATAAAGAAACAATTCATAGCATGTCAAACTCGCAACAAATGGATACCCTCTGGTAATTTAACATAGCTATGGAAAACCACAATTTTTAATGGGAAAACTCCCTATAAATGGCCATTTTCAATAGCTATGTTAAATTACCAGAGTGTAAACAAATGTGCTGCCATCAGATCTGAGGAACAAATCAACTTCACCCTGCAAGCTGCGCATACGCTGGAGCAAGAACGAGCACAACTCCTGGCTGCGACATCGTGGAAGCCTTGCGATTCCTAGACAGAAACAATGTTAAAAAAACATCAACAACCCAAAGACAAACCGTTTGTGTAATATAGAAATTATGGTGTAATAGATGTTTGTTTTTTTTTTTTAAAAAAAACAAAACAAAAAACATCCATATATTCCAAACACAAACCGTTTGTAGCCATAGAAATAGGTCATATCGAAATATATCGAAATTATGGTGTAATACGAGCGACAAACTTTTTGGGTTTAAAACCAGTCACTTCCAGCCATGTGAAGCGGCCATGATTGTGGTGGTTTTCACATGATGAACAAAAGGTAACAGTAACAATGACAAAGCTATATCACAGCAATAGTAGCAGCAACAATTTAATATAATCAGTGATTATTGGCATTGTCCTTCTCATAACTAATAATTAATCGTGATCATAACATATCAAACAAACACAAACAATATCAATAGATTGATTCTCGATGTGTCGTGTTGCTACACCGGTCCAGTACCCGGGGTACCCGGTAGGGTACTCGGTACCCCGTAACGCCGAGACCATCCGAGACCGAGATTCCCATTGCTGCTTCTTTCCAGCCGCATCGATCAGTTCTTCGTACATCCTGGCGGAGATAGCAAAAATAGCCTCTGGTTATGACATTCACACTTTGCCATGGAAAATCAAGATCCACCCATGCTATTAAGAACGGTAAACCATCTATTTCGATTAGGGCCATCTATACATACCATGGCTATGTAAGAAATAGAGGGTACTTGCAGGATCTTGGAGATTTGGAGAGTGACAGATTCGCTAGCAGATTCGCTGGCAGATTCGCTGGCATGTTGGGCTTAATATACTGTTAATAATGGTTAACACCATGGTTATTATACCTGGATCCCCTTGATCGTGGAAATAAATTTCCACACCAAAGCCAAAATCGATCAATTTTGCCAAATTCAAGAGAAAGAGAACTCCTGAACGGTTATTTCCACTCCAGAACGCTTTTTTTAACTCCAGAACGCTTCCGAACGGTTTTGAACGCTTTTTGAACGCTTTTTGAACGCTTTTTTCCACTCCAGAACGTCCGAAGTGTCAGGAACGGCAAAAACCACTCCGGCGTTCTTTTTTCCACACCAACCCCCAAAATCGATCTTTTTTGGGTTTGGTGTTAAAATTACAAGTATCATGGTTTACCAGGTATGGTTAATGATGGTTTATAATAATCTGGTTGGTGGTTGAGTTGACCTACCCCTCTGAAAAATATGATGGAGTTCGTCAGCTGGGATGATGAAAACCCAATATATGGAAAAAATGAAAAATAAAAAACATGTTCCAAACATTTCCAAACCACCAAGCAGTCATGGATTATGATGGAGTGCCATGGATTATCATGGATTCTACTTGAGGCCGAGACTTGTACCATATTTCACCACAATGATACAGAAATTAATTCCAAAAATCCATATAGATAGCGTTCAGTTGCCTTATTTCAGTTGCTGAATTCTATGGTTTATGCTAGATATAACGAAGTAATACGAACTAGTAACTAGTATTCATGCTGGTTGTTTCATGGTTATTTCATGGTTATTTCAAGCAACGAACTCACATCACGATTTCAGGGGGCAAAAATCCTGATCCACTGATTCAGATCATTGAAGAATTTTGAAGATCTAAAATCAATGGGAGATCTCCAGGATCCTAAATCGGAGGTACTGTACCATATTGTTGGCCATATTTTGTGGGGCCATTGATAAAATCATTCTAAATCTGTGTAGTGTCCTCATCTATCACATTGCAGAACAAGAAAAACATAGAAAAAAGCGACCCTGAATCCCTGATTTTTTGAACAGCTTGAGTTTCGGAGAATTCGCTGCCACAGTGCAAGACTTTACCCATATTTATCCATCTTTTCCAAGATTCCTTGAATCCGTTCGCAGTTGACTCTCTTCCATGGTTCTCAGCAGCTCCAATGCGCGACTCAAAGACACGGAAGATAGGGAACCAATCACCTGCCCGACGCCGAAGTTACAGCTGAGAGGATGGCAGAAGATCCTCTGACTCAACTGATGTCATGGCTTTGTGGGGAAATGGAATCCAAATGCTGTCCAAAGTAACAGTTGTTATATGAGAAGTTGGTTCAAATGACAACTTGCTGTTGCTAGAGGTATTTCAATCTCTCCGGGGTTTTACGGTGAAAGTGTTGATAAATGTTCGACATGTTCATCTGGATTTGTCGGAACCCCCAAATGCCAATATTCAACATGAACAAATGCCACCCATACAGATCTGAACAGGTCCGACTCATGATTGAACCCCCCCTTTCCATCCCTCACTGTTAGTCATGTTCGAGTAAACATGATTAGACCATATTAGACCATCACTTCCAAACATTTCTGGTTGGTGGTTGAGCTCTACCCCTCTGAAAAATCATGGAGCTCGTCAGTTGGGATGACGACATTCCCATTTTTTTTGGAAAAATCATCCAAATGTTCCAGTCACCACCAACCAGATTTTCATCTCTAACACTGGACTCCTCCCAAAAACATCCGCCCAAAAACGGTACTGCCCGCCGTATTCCAGGCGGCCACCAGCTGATACTCGGCAACCACTGGTGCCATCTCGGCATGGCTGGCGGGTTCAACATGTTCAACCCCCCCTGGGAGAGAAACGTTTAAACATTGTGGATCATCATCCCAAATATGGGACAGAACACATTCAACACAAAAAACAACACATTAATATAAACCACCAACTAGATTGAATATGGTTGGATCATTTACAACAAGGTTTTACTTGTTTTAACCATTGAAAAAATAATGTGGTTTTAACTTCTAACAATCCAAAGAGTAAACTAAATGACATTTCATCAGAAGAGAAGATGAAACACGATAGCAAAATTGTTGGCAAAGGATAAGAAGAGCAGAGCAATCGTACCAACAATTGGAAAAGGATTGTGTATAATATATATATATAGGTATAATTTATGTATGATCTGATATAGTATGTTGCTATATTCTGTTGAACACTTTGGGAATGAGGATCACATGTTTATGTTTCATGGGTGGGGACGGAAGGGTTGGATCACTAAATGTTTAACGATAAGTTTGGGGGCGGAAATCCGTGCTGAACCTGAGAGAGAAGGTCATGAGTCATGAGTTACATTGGGTCATTGGGTTGTCCAACTTTGGGTCAAAGCCATGGTGTCATTGGAAACTTCACCAGTCTACCAGAGTCTACCGAGTCTACCAGTCGTAGCTAAGAAATTGACCCACTTTCTGTCACGATCCAGGTATCATCCAAACCCCATCGGGCCCTGCCAATCCAAACTTGGAGATTTTTTCATCACGATGCTCAGATCCCGTTGGGCTCAAAACCACATTCTTGATGCTTCAGGATCTCAAACCAAATGGTAAACCCCTCATACTTGCTGTTGGTTGCTGCTGTCCCCAAACTTGAGGTGGCCAAACCTCCATTTTGCCAAGGATTTACTCCTCATGTTCCAACGTTTCCCCGTTTTTGGTCTTAAATTTCCAAGTCTTGTTGGTTCCATTTCCCCAGGACGACGTGGCTTGCCTCCTGCAGGACTTGCAGCGCCAACAGCCACTGAGTGCCCTTCCCCAGCGCCATCACCAGCGGCCGCCCCGTGGCAACACTGCCGTGCTGCCACCTCGGTAGCAGAGACGAAGGGACTGTTTTTTTGGTGATTTGTATGGCGAACATGGCGTTGTCTGAACGTAGAGCACTGAGGACTGGTTTCTCGTCATATTGCAATGGGTATCCAGGTCTTGAACTCATCGATTTTGGGGCCATAAATATGATACCAACCCACCCTCGAGCTGTCAGCAAATCGCTTGGATGCCACATATTCCGGATGGTTCAGCAATAAATTATCATATGTTAATCACAATGTTCCCCTTAAAATGTCAATCTTGAAGTATTCGCTCTCCTCCGTTTTCAGACATCCACATATCAATGTGTTGGTTTCATGCATCAACATTACGTACTTCCATTCGAGTTGTCAAAGTCAAATCCGTAGTACTAGTACCAAACCAAATTGGATCTAGAGTGACTTAAAGACACTACATAGAGTAACTTATATATGATTATATTATATTGTACTATACTATATTATATTATATCATACTATACTATATATATATGATATTGTAATATATTATATTATACTATACTATATATGATATCATATTATATTATACTATACTATATTAGATTAAGCTATATTATGTTACATTATGTTATTATATTATGTTATATTATATTATATTATACAATAATATATACAGTGTATATATATGTATATAAATATCCAGCATCTTTTGAGCACACCGCACCAAGTCACAAGTGCAAGGCCTGCTGCCACTGCACCGCCTGGGCACACGCTTCCAGCGCCGCCTTCACCATGACATGGTCCACTGTGGCGGCCACAGCCAGGAGCTGGCACGCCTGGGGTGAGCTGAAGAACATTGATAGAAACCCCATAGCTGGATGATGTTTTTTTCTGGTTAATATGTGGTTAATATACTGTTCATCATGGTTAATACCATGGTTATTATATGGTTAATGATGGTTAGTAATGACTGGTTGGTGGTTGGGCCACCTACCCCTCTGAAAAATGATGGAGTTCGTCAGTTGGGATTATGACCTTCCCAATATATGGAAAAATAAAAAATGTTCCAAACCAGCAACCAGATACACAATGAAACATGATGGAACATTATGGTGGACATGATATATAATGAAAAATGATAATGATAGAATATATATATATATATATCATGATAATTATACGGAATTATGGTGGACAATGATGTAAAATGATGGAACATGATAGACAATAATGAACCATGACAAAGATGGAATTGTAGATGAGTTATGAGAGTTATGATTTACTAATTTATAACTTAAGAACTAATTATGATTTGCCAATTTCTAACAATTTGCCATTTCTAACTAATAGATTTACTATAGTTATGAGAGTGTGGCAATTTCTAATTGTTCTTGATCATGACACAGGAAACATGTCACAACAAATCGGGGCTATAGGTATAGTTCTGGGCATGGGGATAATGATAAGCAAACATGGAGCTTTCACCAGGAAACAATGTGCCAATAACTAGCACAAAATCACAACGGAAATAGTCAAATGACATCTGAGCTGTGATAAAAGGTCGTGTTCCATGAAGGCAATGCTTACGCCACACCCTTACTCTTCGCCTACACGCTCATTGTGTGAGCTTACGTGCAGGGAGTAGCTTACGCCGATGTTTACGCAGGCTTACGCAAACCATTGTTTTGCTTGGACGCGGTCTTCATTGCCTCTCCCTTTATCAGGAGTTGACTATGTGAATGCTTGCGCGAGCGCCACCCGGCGTTTGCTTCCGCCACCATCCCTGGACTTTATCCCACGCGCAGTCAATTTGACAACGGCTATGAACGACACATGTCCGGTGGTGGTGTAGAACTTGGGCATGAGTCAAAGTTCAAGACCAAGGGAAGCACACATTTGGGGACATTTGGGGTCATGTGTACTATAAACATGTAAAAATCAACGATTAAACTCTACCCTCTGGTAAACTAACATAGCTATTGAAAATGGTCGTTTATAGTGAGTTTTCCTATTAAAAAAAGGTGATTGTCCATAGTTATGTTAGTTTACCAGAGGGTAATGATGTTTGTTTGGTGCTACATTTGGACCCATGCTGAGGTTTCATGTGGTTTGAGACTTCGTAGCCATCCACTCCTTTTTCGCTATCACGCCATCGAGAAGTGAATGAGTTGTGCTGTGGGCTTGGAGAACCATGGAATGGATCTTCTTGCTTCCCGCCAAATGAAAGAGCAATCCTGGAATATCACCATAGCAAAGGGCATTTCATTTGACGCTTCAAAAAGCAATGCTGAGATGAAATTGATATGTGTCAAAAACCCACTACCCTGGGTAAATTTATACAGTATTCATCCCTGAAACCATCTGATATGATGGGTTTCGAACCATTCCCATATGCCCATATATTCCCAAGAACAATACTACATAAAGCATCAGTGTCAGCATCTTGCCTGCTGCCAAAAGTGAGCTTGACCGCAGGCTCCCATGGTAGCACTGTAGCTGAAATGGTCCCGTTGCAAGCTCACTTCCTATCGGATGATCCCTGATGAAGTGCTTGGTGGTGCAAAACTTCCCCCATCAACCAGCCCAATTTTTTTGCATTGATTGGGTATACCATGGCCCACATTTGGGATGATGTTCTAGCCCAAAAATACTTTGTATATGGTTTGATGGGATGGTTTTTGGGATGGTTTATGGCATTGGGTTTACCACATCACAACCACAAGTATGAAAGAGTCATGACTGCAAAACGAGAATGTAACTTTGCGATGGTTGACCATTGGTTTACCATGACTTACCATGATTAAACCCACTCATGGGAAAAATGGTTTACACAATTTCAGCTTTGAGATTTTCATGGCAGGATTCCATTCACAAAATCGGACCAAGCTGTCACGTCCCCGTCCTCAAATCGTTCAAGAACATGCAGGGCTTCTTTCCAAAGATGTGCAGTGGAGAAGCCGCTGATCAAGGAGTTGTAGCTGATGGCATCCAATTTGAATCTCCTTTTTTCCAGAGCCTTGGGCCCACCAGCTTGGTCCATGGGCTGGATACACCTATATCCCTCAGGGGCCCATCCCAGGATATCCCAGGATGAAAAAAATCCAGGTACTTCGATGATGTTTCGCCCATAATGTCCAGTTTTCCAGATGTTCTATCTTTCTGGGGTTACTACAATTATATATATATAATAATATATATATACTATTATAATCTATTATATACTTTGCGTATGTACAAGATGTGTGTGCATTTGACTTTAAATCAGGTTGGGGAGTTTGTCTAATACTGCTGGTGCCAATGCATCTTACACTAGTGTAGAGACTTGTGGGGTCTTGTGGATATCGCATGGTATAGCAATACTCGGTAAAACCAGCAACGAGGGATTTGTCAAGAACATGTTTCAGTCCGCACTTGTGTTGGTCATATCCAACTTGTCAGCCTATGTGTGGCTATGCTGCAACTGTTTTCTGCTCCAAGCTCCTTATATAAATATGTTTTCCCGACTTGATTATCCCGGAGTAAGTCCGTTTCCTTTGAACGCGAGGCTTAAATCGACATCGTTGTGGTTTCGTTGGGATTCATGGTCTACTTGACTTGCTGGAAAACCTATATTTATTACTTCGAAAAGGGATTTCCTATACAGCTCCGTCAGCTCGAAATCATTTACCCTCTGGTAAACGTTTATACCCTCTGGTAAACTGTCCCATAGCTATGGAAAATCACCATGTTTAGTGGGAAAATCCACTATTTCTATGGCCATTTGCAATAGCTATGTTAAATTACCAGAGAGTATACATAAAACTATGGAAAGATCCACCCATTTTCTAGCTGGGTAAATCCACTATTTCGACTGGGCCATGGCTTCAATAGCGAACTGTTGACATCACCAGAGGGTCGTGAGGCGATTCTTCCCTGGCAAGTTTTATATTCAGACTTCCATCATCGGTGGGTTATCGATATTCTTCGAGGAGGATCCCAGTAAATGGTAACATTTCATAAGCCTAATTACCCTCTGGTTATTTAACATAGCCATAAAAAACTGCCCATTTATAGATGGTTTACCTATAATTAGTACCCTCCGGTTATTTGTTACATAGCCATGGAAAATCAAACACCCATTTTTAAGAACGGTAAACCATCTCTTTCTATGGGCCATCTATACCATGGCTATGTTAAATTTCCAGAGGATAAGTCCTATAAGTTGCAAAAATCCCATTTAGAGGTTTCCCGAAAAATAGGGGATCCCCTAAATAGCTGGATGGTTTATTTCATGGTTTATTTCCCCATCTAAAATGGATGATGACTATTATGGGTACCCCTATGACTTAGGAAACCCCCATTTAAAACCAAATTTAGGAAGTGTTTGTTTAGCCCAGTTACGAAGCAGCAAAATATACGAACGGCCCAGGTGCCATGACCAGCTCCAAGGCAATCTGCCAGTGCCCCGATCGTCCCAAACCACTGATGGCATGGTTGTAGCTGATGAGATTGGCCGGCGACGCCTCCTGAAAAACTATGTCGAACATTGTCATATATATATAAAGATCATTGAATATATAGTTTAATATAGTTTAATGATATAATATGATATAATGATATAGACATATTATTATATAGACTTAGACTGTTTGTGGATGTGTTTGGTGCAGTTTCCACCAAGAGCACTCCCTAAAACAGGGGTCCTACCGGAGTTTTGGCCGTATCTCAGTCATTCGGGATCATTCTCCCAACAATGGGAAAGCAGCTGCACTTGGTGGCGAGCCGCATTCATTGATGGCAGTAGAGGTGCGTCAGGAGTCGTCAGGAGTCGTCAGCTAAAATTGGACAACTGTTGTTGCCATCTCTGGCATTTGTAGATGGGGTTGTCACTATCCACGGGCTGGTGTTTGGGGAAAAAACATCACCATTGAAGTCATTGGGAAGTGTCATCAAATAATGAATATAGTTGAAATATGTTGAAATCTCAAAAATGAGAACTTCATCACCAATAATGTGGTAAAACTGCCATAACCATCACCCAAAGCCACCAAAATATCGGTGCAACAAAAAACGTCCCCAGCCATGGTAGTTGTTTATGGTAAGGTCCCCTCGAGGGCGTCGCGGAGTGTTGTCATTTTTTCATGTTTGCGTCACTGCCGAAGCATCCATGTCATCTCACGTGCTTCCTTGTTTTCGTGTGCGTCGTTGCATGTTCCGCGCGTTTTGCTGCGTTTCTTGACGCTGTTGCGTTTATAGTTGCGTGTTGGCATGCCAGGGTTTGTTCGGGGGGGTGGGATGGGGTGGGGTGGTGGGGGGGGGTGGGGTGGGGTGGGGTGGGGGGGGGGGGGGGGGGGGGGGGGGGGGTGGGGGGGGTTGGGGGGGGATGATAACGTTCTTGTTTATTAACGTTCCTGCATGTGCGTTCTTGACACGCGGTTCATTTGTTTGTGCGTTGTTAGAATAGTTTTGAAAATAAAATGATCTCATGTCTTTCGTTTGGTTCAGACATTTTCGATACGTCTTTGTTGCTTATGTTCATGTCTTCGTGTCACAAGTGGAATGTTGCTTTGTTTCATGGCTTTCACCTTGGTTTTGCTTGTTGCGTTGTTCTGGCTCATGTCATAGTTACCATATAGCAGTACCTGGCTCATATTTATGTATATGCAGTGGCTCCACCTGCCAGACGACCTGACCCGTCACCTGGGAAATATACAACATATACAAAAAATATATAAATATATATATATATATAATACATATATAGACATATGTTGTGATTCTCAAATTAGCAGCTGATGATAACAATAATCCTCTCCTTAAGCCATCATAACACCCATGAAACCAACAGTCTCTCTGTCACTGGAGGTCCCAAGATACCAGCCTGTGGCCGTCAGACACGTGGCTCAGGCGAGCCCAGAGGTGGGCGGTGAGGGTTTCTTTCGAGTGTCTTCCAGCCATAGTGGACTACATAAGCGACAGGGTCGCTTTGCAAATAAGTGGACGAGGCCGTCCAACCAAGAATCTCAGCTGGCAGTGGAGGAAAAGCTGAGCGCTTCAGGTGGAGCCCGGTGGTGACAGTAGTGGAGCTACCCCACTTACATTGGTAGCGGAGCTGCTTTTTGCAGCATCCAGGCGAAGACACCATGAGTGAGACCTCAGGTGGCGACAAAGGTGATCAACAGATCACGAATCAGCTGGCATCTCTTGTGCCGAGTTTTGACCCCGCGAAGGATGACATGCAGACCTACAAGCAGAAGGTAGAAATAGTTCTGGGTGCGTGGCCCAAATCTCGCATCACAGAGCTCACAACACGACTGATACTGAATACACAGGGTTCTGCTTTTCAAACACTACAGCTGTATCATGCCGAACTCATGGCCAATGAAGAGAAATCAGTGACTCGCTTGGTGGAATTGTTGGGTGGACAATGGGGCCGCATCGGTCTAGAACAACAGTACCAGGATGTGGAGAACGCCCTGTACCATACAACACAGAGAACTGATGAGTCACATGACTCCTTTTTGGCAAGGGCAGATGTTTTGTGGTCCAAAGCAGTGGCTAGGAAACTGTCATTATCAGACCTGCAGGCTTTTGTGACACTTCGAGGTTCGCTTCTTTCACCAGAAGAAAAGAAGCGTGTGATCTTAGATGCTGATCAAAGTCTGGAAGGCAAACTGACAGTGACTCGTGTCCGGGAGGCCATTAGGCTGTTGGGGGCAACGTTCTTTGCCGCTATGACTGGACAGAAAACCACTGCAAGAAACAAGGTCTATGATGCAACAACAATGCATGTGGAACATCAGGATGAGATCAATGCAGCTGATGGCATGATTGCCACAGAGGATGTTGGCACGGAGGAGGGCTTTATCGAAGCTTTGGTAATGGAAGGTGAGGATGAGGACGCAGTACTGGTGGCCGACTTTGAGGCCTTAGCTGCTGACACGATTCAAGAAGACAGTGAACTGGCACAGGCCTTTAATGCCTACAGTGATGCCCGTCGTCGCCTTTCGGAGAAGTTTCGCAATCGAGGTTTCTGGCCAACATCCAAAGGTACCTCTCATGCAAAGGGGAAAGGATTTGGGGGCAAGTTCAGTGGTCAACGAGGCAAAGGAGGTTTCAATCCACCTCGTCAGCGTAGGTCACTGCAAGATCGTATCATGCAGAGCAACTGTCGAGCATGTGGCCGAAAGGGCCATTGGAAGGCGGAGTGCCCATTTAAATCCACGGCACCCTCCTCGACGAGCCAAGCTCCGTCAACAGCACCAACATCGACCATGATCATGGAACAGGACGCACTGCCTATGGAGTTCCTGAATTTGCCGCAGCTGTCCACTGAAGCCGCATGTCCGATCCCAGAGGAGCCCAATCCTGTTGACACCCACGACGGGGAACTATGTTTTTTTCTAAATGGGGTAGTTAACCAAGATAGCACTGCCAGAATGAGATTAAGGGATAGTCTGAAACATTACCTGGATAGGATTCATTATGAATCGGGGGTAAGTAATGAGACTCTTGCCTTAAACAACAGCCGACACCAAATGAGATCCTGGATCCGCAGGAGTAAACGCCTGCTCAGCCCATGTGAGCCGCCGAGCCGTTTTCCCAATGCCTGCTCCTTGCGTCCAGGGAATGCCGATGAGAATGACAATCAACATCCAGTTGACATGTCTTGCAAAGCACCGACTCATGCACCGTATCAACCAGAAGCCCAGGTGTGTTTTGCTACCCATGGTACGATGGCAATCCTGGATTCCGGAGCTTCGAAGACTGTAGTAGGCAGCAATCAGTTGTCCAGCCTGCTCCAGAATTTTGACCCGTCACTGAGAAGTCAGCTCCGTCGAAGCCCATGCAGTATTACCTTTCGGTTTGGTAACCAGGGGACCCTTCAAAGTAAGGAAGCCTTAATAGTGCCCTTAGGTCAACTGCAGCTGCGAATAGCCATTGTACCAGGTGAGACCCCATTTCTACTGAGTAACACCCTTTTGAGAGCCCTGCAAGCCAAAGTAGACTGCGTGGGACATGTCCTCGAAAGCCCATTGCTTGCACAGCCAGTCCGTTTACAGTTGTCCTCAAAGGGTTTGTTCCTGATTGATCTCAATGAACTGGCCACACAAGCATGCCGAGCGTTGCACGACCAGCGTGTTCCGAAGCGACACGCCTCGCCGACTGAGACTTTTGTGTCCGAAGGTCAGGAAAAGAATCCAGCCATAGCCGGATTCAACAGTCATGCCATGAACAGTCATGAAAAGGATGAACATCAGGTATCAGGATTAGAACAGGTTCACTTGCCAGTTCTTGCATCCGAGGTCCCAGGTCTAAACCAGGCCAGTCCTTCCATGATTGCAGACAGAGTTCAGCCACGGACATCCGAACCACAGGAAGAGCCGGCAGAAATCCAGGCTCAAGAAACCACCACGACCGTCACTCAGACCAACGTTGACCGTGATCATGGCAATGTCCACCTTGGCTCAAAGGCTGAATCGCCTTCAGACGCCAGTTCAGGTGGAAGTGGAGGATCTGAGTCACCTGAGCTTGGAAGAGCTCTCAGGGGAGACACTGAGCTTCGGACAGAAGCATGCGGGCAAAACCTTTGCCGAAGCATGGATGGACCAAGAGTGGGTGAAATTCATGGTCACCAAATACTCACAGAGTACCAAAAGTGCCCATCGCAGGTTCCTTCGGTATGTGGAGTTGAAGCTGGACCAGCACGAACAGCAACAGACTGGGATTCCAGTGATTCCAACCGACAGTGTGCCCGTGGAACCACTGCAACCCATGGCCAAGGCCAAGACAGCCGCCAAAGCCATGGCCAAAGGGATGGCATCCGGCGCACCAGTGTACCTCCCCGATATGGAGGGAGAATGGGCTATGGAACCAGGCCCGTATCCATCCTCGACTATGACCTCAAACTCAATGCCGACGGAAGTGTATGCACTGCAGCAACGAATGCTGAACATGGAAAATGCCATGATGCGGATCATGCATCACCTGGAGGGCCAAGCCAATGCAGTGCAAGTGCCGGAGACTGCCTTCTCCGACCACGACTGAGTGAGGACTGGTCAGCTGAGATCAATACCATGATTAGCCAGGACAATCAGACTTTGAAGAATCTGATTCAATCATTTGAGACCGAACTGCAACAAGCCATCCGAAGTCATCAGCCCATAGGTAAGCCATGTGCATTGGTAGAAGTTTTCTGCAGTGCCAATTCACCCTTGACCCATCAGATGCAACAACAACATGAGACAGCTTACCGTTTCGGCTACGCTCAAGGAGACCTGGCATCAAGTGAGGGTAGGTCCAAGCTTTTCGGCCTGATTGCACGACATAGACCCATGGATGTTTGGGTCAGCCCGGATTGTGGACCTTGGTCGTCCTGGTCTCATTTGAATGCATCCAGATCACTGGAACATCAACATCACTATGAACAAGTGCGTAAAGAGCTCCTTTATCAGATTGCCATTTGTATTGTTCTGTTCCGACATCAAATAGAGAATCATCGACATTTCCATTGGGAACAGCCAGC